CTCTCCACACGATCATGTGGATCGGTGTGTTCCCGAGAGCTTCTTTGATCGCGTAACGCAAGGGTTACGCGACGATCTCGAGCATGAGCGGAATAGGCGTCTCCAAATGGCGGACACTGCCTCGAAGCATCGAGCTGAGTTTGCCTTTGCTCAGCTCGAGAACGAGAGATCTCTGACATCTCTTCGTGACGAGCTAAGGGTAGCTCGTGGGATTGTTGATCGGTCTCGGGATGAGATAACTGCTCTTCAGACCCTTGTTGATGCCCACCATCGGGAGCACAAGGCTCTCTGCGAGATGCTTGAGCGCAAGGGCGTTCTTCATCGGAAGAATCAGCGTACTGATGGTACGGCTTAAGCCGACCAACGTAAAACGTGGGATGCGTTCGCATCTTACGTGGTAACTCGATCGTGTATGCATTGCCTAGGCGGTGCAATACACGAAAAGGGCCAATGTACTTGGGTAGTAGTTTTTACTGCTACCCAAGTTAGTCACTACATGCTTTGGTAGATTAACCGTAGACAGTAGGACTAAGTCACCTTTGTTAAATAAAAGAGTGTTTGCCCTTCAATTCTTGTCAGCGTTTTGCTTTTGCTTATCTACCGCTTCGGCGATGGAGTCTTGCACAAAACGGACTACCGTTTCAAGAGCCAGTATGAATTCATCTGATGACTCGTTAGCGTCAGTGCGCTGTGAGTGCACTGCAGCAACATCAACCTTTTCTTCAGTGAGGGCTTCCGCACTCTCACTGGCATCATCTTCTTCGATGTCGATGTTATCGATATCGGCATCAAACGCAATGACCTCATCGTCAGAGCGTTATGAGCGTGAACCAAATCGGTTTTTGCTCGCGCGAGTCCCTCCCCCCCTTAAACCAGAGTTACACTCGAGTAAGGTGGGTACACGCGGATGGCGCAAGCCATTCACGTAAAACGGTGTATGTGTCGTGGACGCATGCACCGAGTTGTTAATGGCAAACTCTACAATTAGCAAAAACTCACTCCAACTCTTAAAGGAGTGTACGTATCCTTAAAGTATCTCTTCGAGGACACGATTGGCACGTTTCGTCTGACCATCTGACTCTGGATGATCAGATGTAGACATCTTCAAGCGCGTTCCGAGTGATTTGAACACGGAACGCCAGAAATCAGCAGTGAATCTTGGATCTCTGTTTGATACGAGTTCACGGGGGCAACCCATGAAGTTGGAAGATGGTGTCGATAAAGACACAAGCACAGCCACTTGCCGTGATTGACTCTGGTACAGCCACAGGGTGTACCATTTTTGCTGAATCTGTCAACAAATACGAGAATGCCCGTATTCCCGCGTGCGTCTTTGGGTAACCCGAAGACGAAATCCATTGAGATGGATTCTCAGCACTCAGCCGGAACCGGTAGAGGCTGTAAAGGTGCACGCAGCGAAGGACTTGACTGCACTCGTTGGCAGACTTCGCATGCGCGAACATACTTTCGCACAAACTGATACTGGCGGGGCCAGTAAAAGTCTCGACTCACCGTGAGATTTGTTTTCTCCCGGCCACGATGTCCTCCTATAGGAGCATCGTGATACTCGAACATGATCCGCAAACGCAGATCAGCATCATCTGGAATGACAACACGTGGTGTGTCACCAGAAACGGCTGTATAATACAGTAAACCGTTACGAGTAGTGTATCGATCTGATGCAGATCGATACGCAGGCGACAATCGTTTCAAAGATTCTCGAGATGGTTGGGAGAGGTGTGTCAACAACTTCACCATCTTGGGCGTATGCCCGCCTCACATCATCATACAACGTTGTAGATGGGACTGAGGACGTCATAACCGCAACAGTGACTGTCTCACTGTTGGGTTTCGCGACTGTTTCAAAGTCGGGACGACGTGAGAGTGCATCAGCAACGACATTAAGTCGTCCTGGTTTGTACTCGACCGTAAAGTTGTATTCTGCACAGAATGACAACCACCGCGCCATTCGTTGTGAAAGGTGCGGCCTGTTCACTGCCGTGCGTAATGACGCATGGTCAGTGTAAACAACGAAGGGTCTATCTCCTATAGATAGACTCTGAACTTCGCGAGTGCATACTTCATGGCAAGGAGTTCCTTGTCATGCACTGGATAGTTCCGCTCAGCTGGTTGCAGCTGACGCGACTGATAGCAGACGACGCGTTCAACGCCTTCAAGATCGTACTGCATTAATGCACAGCCGATTGCGAAATCGCTGGCATCACAGACCACATGAAATGACCTGTCCTGATCGGCTATTGCTAGGACTGGGTATCGTATCAAGCTCTGCTTGATACCCTCAAAGGAGCGTTGACATTCAGCGTTCCATAACCACCTCTCGTTCTTTTTCAACAAACGAGAGAGGTGTACAGTCATTTCGGCGTAATTGCGTGAATGCTTGTGCAAATACGCCGCTAGCCCAAGGAATTTTCGAAGACCTTTGACATCAACCGGCACAGGCCAGTCGGTGATCGCCTTGATCTTTTCGGGATCAGGACGTACACCGTTCTTACCAACGATGCACCCAAGAAGTGGTATTTCGCTGGTTGCAAATATACACTTCTTGAGGTTATCATACAATTGATGCTTTCGCATGATTGTAAGAACCTGTCGGACGTGGTACCTGTGAACCTCAACGTCCGACTTTCCATCCATAGCTCGACTATGGATGAATACGTCATCGAAAAAACTCGGCGCGAATTCTCGTACTGGTCTCAACAGATGTGATACACATCTGTTGAACGTGGCAGGGGCATTACTAAGCCCTTGTGGCATTACTAGCCATTCCCAGAGCATGCCGCTAGGCGTGCTAACTGCGGTATAGGGTATATCCCGTTCCCGCATAAGGATTTGATAGAAGCCATCCATCAAATCCATGGACGAAAAGATGGTACTCTTTGACATACCATCAATGATTACGTCCTTCCTCGGTATCGGCGTCTGAGCCGGTACCGTTGCAGCGTTCAATTTGTTGAACGCGTGCACTATCCGCCACAGTCCTGTTGCTTTTCGCATACAGAAGGTCGGAGAGCTATGTGGGAAGTTGATTCCCTCACATGACCCGCAGCTAAACGATCGGCAAAGAACTTGTCGATCGCAAGTACTTGTTCACGAGGCAGTGGCTACTGCTTCATGACACAGTACTTCGAGCCTGGTTTAAGCTCGACCTCGTGTCGAATACCTTTATCCTTCAGTAATTCGCACGGAACAGTTTCAGGGAATACATTCTTGAATTCAACCAAATCTTCATAGAGAGGATTTGTCTTGAGCGATTCCCACGATTGGGAGTCATATCGCTCAATTCGTGTCTTTTCATCTAGGACACTCTCGTCCATAGATGAACTGCTGAGAACTCTCTCGTTCTCAGTGAACACTTTTGCTGACCTTATGTCGGTTACACACTCGTCGTCAGCGACGAGTACGCAGATCTGCTTGACTTTGCCACTACGCAGATCACGCAAGAACCTTTTATGTTCGAGCGTTGACAACTGAGTGATCTCCGAAGTCAACTTCGGAGGCGCAATCAGATCAAGTGTATAAGCGCCTAAACTTGATCCGTTATTGACTATGACATTCAATGTCTCTGTCATTTCCTGGGGACTTATTCCCTCAGGCTTCGAAGGACTTATTCCTTCGGCTTCCCGGGGACTTATTCCCGCGGGTTTCGGGGAACTTATTCCCGCCGTATTTGTAACATCGGGACTTATTCCCTTAACTTCCTCTAGCTGGGGTTGCGCAACCACAGCGAGATCCTCTACGAAAGACTCTCCAGTCGATCTAGGATTATCGTTTCGCTTAACCTGAGCGATCGATTGTTTCTCTTCTAGATGTTCCCCGCTAGGGATACATCTTTGTCCCAGTCCACCCGACTTATTCGAGTGGTGGACCTTCGGCGCAGCCTGTGTTTCCTCACAGCCGCCGGAACTTTGCTCCGAAGTGCAACCGTTTGTTACACTAAGGTTTTGTGCAGTCGTACTAACGACCTTACCACAAGTGAGGCCATCGCACTCACTCGTAGTACATCCACACGCTTGTGGACGCTCCAAAACGTTCATCAGATGGCCATCTGATGAACAAGCGGCAGGCATCGTTACTGTCCGATGATGCGAGTTTACCTGTGGTTCGTACCTTCTGAGCCACGGTATTCCAAGGATGACATCAAATTTGTCATCCAAATCCAATACGATAAAGTCATCGTCATATTGGGTATCTTCTAGCGTATAGTGGATCTTCACAATACGCTTCATGACGGTTACGGATGCGCCTGTCGCAAGACGTACCGTCATCCTCGTAGGAGGTGTGTCACATTCACTGAACTTAAAGTGACCATCTTCTAGCGATTGGCGTCGCACAAAATTGTTGGACGCCCCACAATCGACTAGAGCTCGAAGGGACAACTATTTGTCACTTCGAGTTTTAAGGTAATGAGTGAGATCTCATTACCTAGAGCAGCAACGCACAACGTTTGTGTGTTGGGAGCAACCTTCATCAAGAGGCATACAAATTCTCTTGACGTTGCTGGACCAGTAGGGTGCTCCGCACCTACTGATCCTGTCCGTTTTTTGACAATTCATCCCGTTGTTGCGTCTTTGCACCAACCGCGGACCCTCGTCCCTGCCCCTTTCTCATGGGTGGACGATCACTACGCCCAGTGTCGCGAGACACTGGACGAGGGGCACTACACTCTTGAGCGTAGTGTCCTGTCTTTTGACATCTGTTGCATCTCTGCAACTTCTTGTAGCCTGTAGAGCGAGCCTTCTCGCTCTCTACATAACAGAGTTCCATTGGCTCTGGACCTCCGTTGTCATATCGTCTCGGTTGACGATATGATGTCGAGCTGGATCGAGCCTGTCTCAGACTGAAGCCTTCCTGCTCCGCAATGGAAATGGCTTGTTATAGTGAATCTAGTTCAAGTCGGAACAGGTGAGTCTTGACGGGACCATCCGCAAGACCCTGCATGAACACCGAAACCAACGTGTGTTCATCAACCGGATTGGAACTTATACAACTCGTAAGATGTCGTATATGTTGAGCGTCGCGTGCACATCACGCTTACCCTGCTTGAGCTTCAAGAGTTCGGTTTGAGCTCTGAACTCAGCTCTAGGCGGTTCAAACGTTTGTCTGAGCCGCGACTTGAAGACTTCCAACGACCCAAACGCATATGGGTCGTGCAACTTGAGCCCCAGTGCCCAAGTCTTGGCACGTCCTGCCAGATTTGACTGGGCAAATGCAACGTGCATATCCCCGTCGTCGATGCGACGCGCCCTTATGGCGTCATCCAATTCGACGAACCATCTCAAGAGGGAGTCCTAATTCGACTCCCCTATACTTGGAGATGTCAATCTTCAAGGTTTCGGGTCGACGCGAGTGCATCGACCCACCAGCAGCAGCATGCTGCTGTCTCAGCAGTTCAAACTGTCGAGCACCCTGTTCTCTCAACAATTTTGCTTGTTGAGAACCTTGTTGGTGAAGCAAGGCTACTTTCTCGCGTTCTGCGTCAAGTTCATTTTGAATGAACTTGGCGATAGTAGCATGTTGGGCATCTCTATTGAGAGCCTCTAGCATGACGCTAACAGCATGGATGCCCATGGTTGAACCCATCCGTTCAACCGCATCCCATTCGACATCGCTCAAATGGGAGTAGCCGTCACGCGTAGCGTGAAAGCTTTGGTCATCTTCATCATCCAACATATTCATGTTAGATGTGAACGTGGTCCTTGGACGGACTACGAAGTGCGACCAGGTGTAACGGGGCACCCTGAAGCTTGTACTGGTGACAGTACAAGCTACTTATTCTGATGACAGAATAAGGCGGTGCCTCGAAACCTCACTTACACTCGTACGTGCAGAGGAAGACGGTAAGAAGAAGCGAGTACTTGGTTAAAGTAAAAAGTAGAACTGTATTTGTCATAGTTAATGTCTGCACTAAATCACTATTTATCTTCATCTAACTATGTCTAAATACAAATGTGCAAATCAGTTATCTGCTCACCACTCATTGCGTGCGTCTGTCGTGGCGCGTCTTCGTTGGTTGATATAATGGCCTATATCAACCAATTAGGAACTACTCGTAAGTGCTACAGAATATTTGTCCTTATGACAATATTCTAAGAATCTACCTCTTATAGTTATATTCTATTAACAATTTCTGATAAATTGTTATGTAACGATTCACCCCGTTACATCACCCCCCCTTTACCATCAGTCACTTTAGTGACTGATCGACTAAATGGATACTAGTCCCAAATCATTTGGGACAGGGTTTGCACTTGTTGGTCCGAGTCCACTTCCCAACATCTCATCGCATGGTTAACAAGCCCATGCGATGCGCGAGCAAGGCCGCCGAGAGCGCGTCCGCACGTCTCTGTGCGGACGCCGAAGCAGAAACCACAGCAACCGATGTGTCATCGGTTTCTAAGCGTCTCAGCCTGTATCACCTGGTGATGCAGGCGCTCGTCATGAAGACTCTCATGTCTTCACAGAGTACGAGCTCGGTGTCTCGTACTCTCCTGATACGGATGACGGATCCGTATCGACGGCGATCGAATCCAAGCCGCCTGCCAAGCGTGGCATGGACGATGCTTTGCGTCGCAGCGTCTTTGGTTCATCTGATGAATCAGATGAACCATCGCCGAAGCGAAGGCGCTCGAGGTCGCGAGACTCGGGCGCTAACAGTGGTGTCGGTTCTCCAATGGACACCACTTCACAGCGAGGTGCCAGTACTTCTGTCGGCACGTCGCAGGAAGAGCGGGACCGCAATGTGTTGCGTCTCGCTCCTGAGAAGAAGGCATGGATGCCTCCTTAATCAGTCATGGATCACTTGTCGGCGACGAAGAGTGATCGTTATCGAACACGATTGTTCGATTCGTCAAGGATCCATCATCTTGACGCCAGCGCGAAAGACTATCGCGCTGAACACGAATTCTTCATCGATGCTTTCTTCAGACATCGATGGTACAGTGGGAATCACAAACGTGATGGTCCCTCACTACTTCAGGCGTGGAACGCCTACATCCATAACCTCGAGGATGTAGGTCGTGACGCTTGGAACGACAAACTTATCATAGCTCGTGATAAGTTTGAAAAGCGAACCCCGACAGGTGCACGCCACAAGCTGCATCGTCTGTCAAGGGAGAAAGGATTACCCTGCCTCTCTTGGGGAGACCCGTGCCCATGTTGTGTGAACAACTCTGCACGAGCACCTAAGGAGGCTTACCTCCTTACCAGCCCGTGGTGGCGCGTACGTGTCTCTACTGAGATGTACGAAGGGATTGACAACTTTAAATCCCTTTACGACCGTGCCGGGAAGACTTTCTCCGGCGGTCCTTCTGCGGCACAGGATGTGCCGTGTCGTACTGCTCAACCAGACCCAGTACGTCAACCATCAATTGGGAGCGGGGCTCCCAAGAATCCCAGGACGGGGGATAGCCGCGCCACCGGACGAGGTAACTCGTCCGACGTCCGTTCACGTCGCGGTGGTTCAACAGCTGCTCAACTAGATAGCGCTGGCCACCGCGAGAGTCCTCTAATGGAGGTGGAGGAGGAGGAAAGACGCTCTCCACACGATCATGTGGATCGGTGTGTTCCCGAGAGCTTCTTTGATCGCGTAACGCAAGGGTTACGCGACGATCTCGAGCATGAGCGGAATAGGCGTCTCCAAATGGCGGACACTGCCTCGAAGCATCGAGCTGAGTTTGCCTTTGCTCAGCTCGAGAACGAGAGATCTCTGACATCTCTTCGTGACGAGCTAAGGGTAGCTCGTGGGATTGCTGATCGGTCTCGGGATGAGATAACTGCTCTTCAGACCCTTGTTGATGCCCACCATCGGGAGCACAAGGCTCTCTGCGAGATGCTTGAGCGCAAGGGCGTTCTTCATCGGAAGAATCAGCGTACTGATGGTACGGCTTAAGCCGACCAACGTAAAACGTGGGATGCGTTCGCATCTTACGTGGTAACTCGATCGTGTATGCATTGCCTAGGCGGTGCAATACACGAAAAGGGCCAATGTACTTGGGTAGTAGTTTACTGCTACCCAAGTTAGTCACTACATGCTTTGGTAGATTAACCGTAGACAGTAGGACTAAGTCACCTTTGTTAAATAAAAGAGTGTTTGCCCTTCAATTCTTGTCTGCGTTTTGCTTTTGCTTATCTACCGCTTCGGCGATGGAGTCTTGCACAAAACGGACTACCGTTTCAAGAGCCAGTATGAATTCATCTGATGACTCGTTAGCGTCAGTGCGCTGTGAGTGCACTGCAGCAACATCAACCTTTTCTTCAGTGAGGGCTTCCGCACTCTCACTGGCATCATCTTCTTCGATGTCGATGTTATCGATATCGGCATCAAACGCAATGACCTCATCGTCAGAGCGTTATGAGCGTGAACCAAATCGGTTTTTGCTCGCGCGAGTCCCTCCCCCCTTAAACCAGAGTTACACTCGAGTAAGGTGGGTACACGCGGATGGCGCAAGCCATTCACGTAAAACGGTGTATGTGTCGTGGACGCATGCACCGAGTTGTTAATGGCAAACTCTACAATTAGCAAAAACTCACTCCAACTCTTAAAGGAGTGTACGTATCCTTAAAGTATCTCTTCGAGGACACGATTGGCACGTTTCGTCTGACCATCTGACTCTGGATGATCAGATGTAGACATCTTCAAGCGCGTTCCGAGTGATTTGAACACGGAACGCCAGAAATCAGCAGTGAATCTTGGATCTCTGTTTGATACGAGTTCACGGGGCAACCCATGAAGTTGGAAGATGGTGTCGATAAAGACACAAGCACAGCCACTTGCCGTGATTGACTCTGGTACAGCCACAGGGTGTACCATTTTGCTGAATCTGTCAACAAATACGAGAATGCCCGTATTCCCGCGTGCGTCTTTGGGTAACCCGAAGACGAAATCCATTGAGATGGATTCTCAGCACTCAGCCGGAACCGGTAGAGGCTGTAAAGGTGCACGCAGCGAAGGACTTGACTGCACTCGTTGGCAGACTTCGCATGCGCGAACATACTTTCGCACAAACTGATACTGGCGGGGCCAGTAAAAGTCTCGACTCACCGTGAGATTTGTTTTCTCCCGGCCACGATGTCCTCCTATAGGAGCATCGTGATACTCGAACATGATCCGCAAACGCAGATCAGCATCATCTGGAATGACAACACGTGGTGTGTCACCAGAAACGGCTGTATAATACAGTAAACCGTTACGAGTAGTGTATCGATCTGATGCAGATCGATACGCAGGCGACAATCGTTTTAAAGATTCTCGAGATGGTTGGGAGAGGTGTGTCAACAACTTCACCATCTTGGGCGTATGCCCGCCTCACATCATCATACAACGTTGTAGATGGGACTGAGGACGTCATAACCGCAACAGTGACTGTCTCACTGTTGGGTTTCGCGACTGTTTCAAAGTCGGGAAGACGTGAGAGTGCATCAGCGACGACATTAAGTCGTCCTGGTTTGTACTCGACCGTAAAGTTGTATTCTGCAAAGAATGACAACCACCGCGCCATTCGTTGTGAAAGGTGCGGGCTGTTCACTGCCGTGCGTAATGACGCATGGTCGGTATAAACAATGAAGGGTCTATCTCCTAATAGATAGCCTCTGAACTTCGCGAGTGCATACTTCATGGCAAGGGGTTCCTTGTCATGCACTGGATAGTTCCGCTCAGCTGGTTGCAGCTGACGCGACTGATAGCAGACGACGCGTTCAACGCCTTCAAGATCGTACCGCATTAATGCACAGCCGATTGCGAAATCGCTGGCATCACAGACCACATGAAATGACCTGTCCTGATCGGCTATTGCTAGGACTGGGTATCGTATCAAGCTCTGCTTGATACCATCAAAGGAGCGCTAGCATTTAGCTTTCCATAACCACCTCTCGTTCTTTTTCAACAATCGAGAGAGGTGCACAGTCATTTCGGCGTAATTGCGTGAATGCTTGTGCAAATACGCCGCTAGCCCAAGGAATTTTCGAAGATCTTTGACATCAACCGGCACAGGCCAGTCGGTGATCGCCTTGATCTTTTCGGGATCAGGACGTACACCGTTCTTACCAACGATGCACCCAAGAAGTGGTATTTTGCTTGTTGCAAATATACACTTCTTGAGGTTATCATACAATTGATGCTTTCGCATGATTGTAAGAACCTGTCGGACGTGGTACCTGTGAACCTCAACGTCCGACTTTCCATCCATAGCTCGACTATGGATGAATACGTCATCGAAAAACTCGGCGCGAATTCTCGTACTGGTCTCAACAGATGTGATACACATCTGTTGAACGTGGCAGGGGCATTACTAAGCCCTTGTGGCATTACTAGCCATTCCCAGAGCATGCCGCTAGGCGTGCTAACTGCGGTATAGGGTATATCCCGTTCCCGCATAAGGATTTGATAGAAGCCATCCATCAAATCCATGGACGAAAAGATGGTACTCTTTGACATACCATCAATGATTACGTCCTTCCTCGGTATCGGCGTCTGAGCCGGTACCGTTGCAGCGTTCAATTTGTTGAACGCGTGCACTATCCGCCACCCTCCTGTTGCTTTTCGCATACAGAAGGTCGGAGAGCTATGTGGGAAGTTGATTCCCTCACATGGCCCGCAGCTAAACGATCGGCAAAGAACTTGTCGATCGCAAGTACTTGTTCACGAGGCAGTGGCTACTGCTTCATGACACAGTACTTCGAGCCTGGTTTAAGCTCGACCTCGTGTCGAATACCTTTATCCTTCAGTAATTCGCACGGAACAGTTTCAGGGAATACATTCTTGAATTCAACCAAATCTTCATAGAGAGGATTTGTCTTGAGCGATTCCCACGATTGGGAGTCATATCGCTCAATTCGTGTCTTTTCATCTAGGACACTCTCGTCCATAGATGAACTACTGAGAACTCTCTCTCGTTCTCAGTGAACACTTTTGCTGACCTTATGTCGGTTACACACTCTTCGTCAGCGACGAGTACGCAGATCTGCTTGACTTTGCCACTACGCAGATCACGCAAGAACCTTTTATGTTCGAGCGTTGACAACTGAGTGATCTCCGAAGTCAACTTCGGAGGCGCAATCAGATCAAGTGTACAAGCGCCTACACTTGATCCGTTATTGATTATGACATTCAATGTCTCTGTCATTTCCTGGGGACTTATTCCCTCAGGCTTCGAAGGACTTATTCCTTCGTCTTCCCGGGGACTTATTCCCGCGGGTTTCGGGGAACTTATTCCCGCCGTATTTGTAACATCGGGACTTATTCCCTTAACTTCCTCTAGCTGGGGTTGCGCAACCACAGCGAGATCCTCTACGAAAGACTCTCCAGTCGATCTAGGATTATCGTTTCGCTTAACCTGAGCGATCGATTGTTTCTCTTCTAGATGTTCCCCGCTAGGGATACATCTTTGTCCCAGTCCACCCGACTTATTCGAGTGGTGGACCTTCGGCGCAGCCTGTGTTTCCTCACAGCCGCCGGAACTTTTCTCCGAAGTGTAACCGTTTGGTACATTAAGGTTTTGTGCAGTCGTACTAACGACCGTACCACAAGTGCGGCCATCGCACTCACTCGTAGTACATCCACACGCTTGTGGACGCTCCAAAACGTTCTTCAGATGGCCATCTGATGAACAAGCGGCAGGCATCGTTACCGTTCGATGTTGCCAGTTTACCCGTGGTTCGTACCTTCTGAGCCACGGTATTCCAAGGATGACATCAAATTTGTCATCCAAATTCAATACGATAAAGTCATCGTCATATTGGGTATCTTCTAGCGTATAGTGGATCTTCACTATACGCTTCATGACGGTTACGGATGCGCCTGTCGCAAGACGTACCGTCATCCTCGTAGGAGGTGTGTCACATTCACTGAAATTAAAGTGACCATCTTCTAGCGATTGGCGTCGCACAAAATTGTTGGACGCCCCACAATCGACTAGAGCTCGAAGGGACAACTATTTGTCACTTCGAGTTTTAAGGTAATGAGTGAGATCTCATTACCTAGAGCAGCAACGCACAACGTTTGTGTGTCGGGAGCAACCTTCATCAAGAGGCCCACAAATTCTCTTGACGTTGCTGGACCAGTAGGGTGCTCCGCACCTACTGATCCTGTCCGTTTTTTGACGGTACATCCCGTTGTTGCGTCTTTGCACCAACCGCGGACCCTCGTCCCTGCCCCTTTCTCATGGGTGGACGGTCACTACGCCCAGTGTCGCAAGACACTGGAAGAGGGGCACTACACTCGTGAGCGTAGTGTCCTGTCTTTTGACATCTGTTGCATCTCTGCAACTTCTTGTAGCCTGTAGAGCGAGCCTTCTCTCTCTCTACATAACAGAGTTCCATTGGCTCTGGACCTCCGTTGTCATATCGTCTCGGTTGACGATACGATGTCGAGCTGGCGCGAGCCTGTCTCAGACTGAAGTCTTCCTGCTCCGCAATGGAAATGGCTTGTTATAGTGAATCTAGTTCAAGTCGGAACAGGTGAGTCTTGACGGGACCATCCGCAAGACCCTGCATGAACACCGAAACCAACGTGTGTTCATCAACCTGGTTGGAACTTATACAACTCGTGAGATCGTATATGTTGCGCGTAAGCGTGCACATCACGCTTACCCTGCTTGAGCTTCAAGAGTTCGGTTTGAGCTCTGAACTCAGCTCTAGGCGGTTCAAACGTTTGTCTGAGCCGCGACTTGAAGACTTCCAACGACCCAAACGCATATGGGTCGTGCAACTTGAGCCCCAGTGCCCAAGTCTTGGCACGTCCTGCCAGATTTGACTGGGCAAATGCAACTTGCATATCCCCGTCGTCGATGCGACGCGCCCTTATGGCGTCATCCAATTCGACGAACCATCTCAAGAGGGAGTCCTCTTCGACTCCCCTATACTTGGAGATGTCAATCTTCAAGGTTTCGGGTCGACGCGAGTGCATCGACCCACCAGCAGCAGCATGCTGCTGTCTCAACAGTTCAAACTGTTGAGCACCCTGTTCTCTCAACAATTTTGCTTGTTGAGAACCTTGTTGGTGAAGCAAGGCTACTTTCTCGCGTTCTGCGTCAAGTTCATTTTGAATGAACTTGGCGATAGTAGCATGTTGGGCATCTCTATTGAGAGCCTCTAGCATGACGCTAACAGCATGGATGCCCATGGTTGAACCCATCCGTTCAACCGCATCCCATTCGACATCGCTCAAATGGGAGTAGCCGTCACGCGTAGCGTGAAAGCTTTGGTCATCTTCATCATCCAACATATTCATGTTAGATGTGAACGTGGTCCTTGGACGGACTACGAAGTGCGACCAGGTGTAACGGGGCACCCTGAAGCTTGTACTGGTGACAGTACAAGCTACTTAATCCGATGACAGAATAAGGCGGTGCCTCAGAACTTCTCGTACACTCGTACGTGCAGAGGAAGACGGTAAGAAGAAGCGAGTACTTGGTTAAAGTAAAAAGTAGAACTGTATTTGTCATAGTTAATGTCTGCACTAAATCACTATTTATCTTCATCTAACTATGTCTAAATACAAATGTGCAAATCAGTTATCTGCTCACCACTCATTGCGTGCGTCTGTCGTGGCGCGTCTTCGTTGGTTGATATAATGGCCTATATCAACCAATTAGGAACTACTCGTAAGTGCTACAGAATATTTGTCCTTATGACAATATTCTAAGAATCTATCTCTTATAGTTATATTCTATTAACAATTTCTGATAAATTGTTATGTAACAATTCACCCCGTTACACTGTGGCATCGCTAGCCACTTCCAAAGGATACCACTGGGGGTACTCTTGCTGTGTACGGGATGGTCTGTTCACGCATGGGGATCTTATAGAATACATCCCTAAAATCCATGGACGAAAAGATGGTACTCTTTGCCATACCATCTATGATGACATCCTATTTGGGATCGGCTTTTGAGCCGGTACCGTTGCAGCATTCAATTTGTTGAGCGCGTGCACTATTCGCCACCCTCCTGTGGCATTTTGCACACAGAAGTTCGGCGAGCTGTGTAGGGATGTTGATTACCTCACATGACCAGCCGCTAAACGATCGGCAAAGAATTCGTTGATCGCTGTGACCCGTTCACGAGGCAGTGTCCACTGCTTCATGACACAAAATTAAAAACCGGGTTTCAGTTCAATCTCATGCCGAGTGCCTTTGTCTTTTAGCAACTCGCATGGCACGGATTCCGGGAAAATATCCCTGAATTCAGCCAAATCTTTTTACAAAGGATTCGTCTTCGTAGACTGCCAAGATTGAGACATGTATCGCTCAATCCGGGTCTTCTCATCGAGGACACTCTCATCCATAGATGAGCTACTGAGAACCCTTTCGCTCTCAGCAAAACCTTATGCCGAACGAATATCGGCGACATACTCGTCCCCTGTGACAAGTACGCAGATCTGTTTGATCTTGTCACTACCCAGATCTAGCAAAAATCTTATAGATTCTAGTGTTGGCAAATTGACCACCTCCGAAGCTGAGTTTGGAGTTGTCACCATAACAAGCGCATAAGCGCCTACACTTGATCTGTCATTCACCAAGACATTCACTGACTCGGTGATTTCCTGGGAAAAACCCATCCGCAGGTGGTTGGGGATCCACACCCTTAGCATTACTCTCTAGGGAGTCATTGCTCTCATGAACGCCGGAGTTTTCTCCCGTTACGGGTACTTTCACGGTCACGTCCTCTTCGATCGACTCTCTTTCAGTCGAGAGGGCTTGCTCTACTATCGACTCTCTGATAGTCGATCTGGCTTGAACGTGTTGTCCATTCTATACAACACTACTTTCCCTTCTCGTATGCACCCTTCTTGGTGTGCATCCGTGTTCCAGTCCACTCGATCCCTTCGAGTGGTGAGCCTTTGGTGCAGCCTGTGTCTCTACACAGGTGCCGGAAGCTGGTTCCACAGTGCAGTGGCCTTCTACATTGTGATCTTGTGCAATCGTACTAACGACCGTACCACAAGTGAGGCCATCGTACTCACTCGTAGTACATCCACACGCTTGTGGACGCTCCAAGACTTTCGTCAGATGGCCATCCGATGAACTAACGGCAGGCTTCTTCACGGATCGATGCTGCCAGCTAAACCATGGACGGTACTTTCTAAGCCATGGCAGACCAAGGATGACATCAAATTTGATATCTAAATCTAGTACGATAAAGTCATCATCGTACTGTGTTCTTTCTAGCGTGTAGTGGATTCCCACAACACGTTTGTTTACTATTACGGATGCGCATGCAGCAAGGCACACCGTCATCCTCTTTGGAGGGAACTCTCGCTCAATATAGTTGTGACTACTATCCCTTAGCGACTGGCGTCGAATAAAACTGTTCGACGCACCACAGTCAACCAGGGCGCGAAGTGACATTCTACTTGCCACTTCAATCTTCAAAGTGGTGAGAGACTCCTCATCACTAAGGGCAGTAACACACACAGACTGTGTGTTTGGAGCAATCTTCGTCAAGAGTCCTGCAAATTCTCCTGACGTTGCTGGATCATCAGGGTGCTCCGCCCCTACTGACCCGGACCGTTTTTTGGCGGTCCGACTTGCTGTCGCGACTTGGCGACATGGTCGGACCCGCGTCTTGGACCATTCCTCGGCCAACGGCGGTCATCACGTCCTCTCTTCGGATGTGATGCGGTGCTTGGGACACTACACTCATGAGCGTAGTATCCAATCTTCTGACAGCGATGGCATCATGCCGTTCACTTGTGACTCAGAGAGGTAGAGTTCTCGCTCTCGATGTAACAGAGGTCAATAGGTTCGGGCCCTCCTGTTTCCTGTCGCCTCGTCGGACGATAGTTTGACGAGTTAGCCTGAGACTTACTCAAACTGAAGTCTTCTTGTTCCGCATACGCTACCGCCTTTTCCAGCGTTTGGAAGTCCTCTCGGAACATGTAGGTCTTCACCGGCCTATCCACAAGGCCGTAGATGATCACGTTGATGAGCGTGCGCTCGTCAACAGGGTTTTCCGTGACTGTAACGGGGTGAATCGTTGCATTCTAGAATACCAGAAATTGTTAATAGAATATAACTAAAATATAATAGTCGCACTCTCAGAATTTTGTCATAAGGACAATATTCTGCAGCACTTACGAGTTGTTCCTAATTGGTTGATATAGGCCGTTATATCAACCAACGAAGACGCGCCACGACAGACGCACGCAATGAGTGGTGAGCAGATAGTTGATTTGCACATTTGTATTTAGACATAGTTAGATGAGGATAAACAGTGGTTTATTTACAGACTTTAACTATGACAAATACAGTTCTACTTTTTACTTTAACCAAGTACTCGCTTCTTCTTACCGTCTTCCTCTGCACGTACGAGTGTACGTGAAGTTACGAGGCACCGCCTTATTCTGTCATCAGAATAAGTAGCTTGTACTGTCACCAGTACAAGCTTCAGGGTGCCCCGTTTCACCTGGTAGCACTTCGTAGTCCGTCCAAGGACCATGTTCACATCTAACATGAATATGTTGGATGATGAAGATGACCAAAGCTTTCACGCTACGCGTGACGGTTATCCAATTTGAGCGATGTTGAATGGGGTGCGGTCGAACGGATGGGTTCGACCATGGGCATCCATGCTCTTAGCGTCATGCTAGAGGCTCTCAATAGAGATGCCCAACATGCTACTATCGCCAAGTTCATTCAAAATGAACTCGACGCCGAACGCGAGAAATTAGCCTTGCTTCACCAACAAGGTTCTCAACAACCAGAGTTGTTGAGAGAACAGGGTGCTCAACAGTTTGAACTGTTGAGACAGCAGCATGCTGCTGCTGGTGGGTCGATGCACTCGCGTCGACCCGAGCCTTGAAGATTGACATCTCTAAGTATAGGGGAGTCGAATTAGGACTCCCTCTTGAGATGGTTCGTCGAATTGGATGACGCCATAAGGGCGCGTCGCATCGACGACGGGGATATGCACGCTGCATTTGACCAGGCAATCTGGCAGGACGTGCCAAGACTTGGGCACTGGGGCTCAAGTTGCACGACCCATATGCGTTTGGGTCGTTGGAAGTCTTCAAGTCGCGGCTCAGACAAACGTTTGAATCGCCTAGAGCTGAGTTCAGAGCTCGAACCGAACTCTTGAAGCTCAAGCAGGGTAAGCATGATGTGCACGCGACGCTCAACATATACGATCTTACGAGTTGTATAAGTTCCAATCCGGTGGATGAATACACGTTGGTTTCGGTGTTCATGCAGGGTCTTGCGGATGGTCCCGTCAAGACTCACCTGTTCCGACTTGAACTAGATTCACTAGAACAAGCCATTTCCATTGCGGAGCAGGAAGACTTCAGTCTGAGACAGGCTCGCGCCAGCTCGACATCGTATCGTCAACCGAGACGATATGACAACGGAGGTCCAGAGCCAATGGAACTCTGTTATGTAGAGAGCGAGAAGGCTCGCTCTACAGGCTACAAGAAGTTGCAGAGATGCAACAGATGTCAAAAGACAGGACACTACGCTCACGAGTGTAGTGCCCCTCGTCCAGTGTCTCGCGACACTGGGCGTAGTGACCGTCCACCCATGAGAAAGGGGCAGGGACGAGGGTCCGCGGTTGGTGCAAAGACGCAACAACGGGATGTACCGTCAAAAAACGGACAGGATCAGTAGGTGCGGAGCACCCTACTGGCCTAGCAACGTCAAGAGAATTTGTAGGCCTCTTGATGAAGGTTGCTCCCAACACAAATGTTGTACGTTGCTGCTGTAGATAATGAGATCTCACTCATTACCTTGAAACTCGAAGTGACGAATAAGTTGTCCCTTCGAGCTCTAGTCGATTGTGGGGCGTCCAACAATTTTGTGCGACGCCAATCGCTAGAAGATGGTCACTTTAATTTCAGTGAATGTGACACACCTCCTACGAGGATGACGGTATGTCTTGCGACAGATGCACTTATAACCGTCATGAAGCGTATTGTGAAGATCCACTATACGCTAGAAGATACCCAATATGACGATGACTTTATCGTATTGGATTTGGATGACAAATTTGATGTCATCCTTGGAATACCGTGGCTCAGAAGGTACGAACCACAGGTAAACTCGCATCATCGGACAGTAACGATGCCTGCCGCTTGTTCATCAGATGGCCATCTGATGAACGTTTTGGAGCGTCCACAAGCGTGTGGATGTACTACGAGTGAGTGCGATGGCCTCACTTGTGGTAAGGTCGTTAGTACGACTGCACAAAACCTTAGTGTAACAAACAGTTGCACTTCGGAGCAAAGTTCCGGCGGCTGTGAGGAAACACAGGCTGCGCCGAAGGTCCACCACTCGAATAAGTCGAGTGAACGGGACAAAGATGTATCCCTAGCGGGGAACATCTAGAAGAGAAACAAACGATCGCTCAGGTTAATTGAAACGATTATCCTAGATCGACTGGATCTAGGATTATCGTTTCGCTTAACCTGAGCGATCGATTCTTGGAGGATCTCGCTGTGGTTGCGCAACCCCAGCTAGAGGAAGTTAAGGTAATAAGTCCTGATATTACAGATACGGCGGAAATAAGTTCCCCGAAACCCGCGGGAATAAGTCCCCGGGAAGCCGAAGGACTAAGTCCTTCGAAGCCTGAGGGAATAAGTCCCCAGGAAATGACAGAGACATTGAATGTCATAATCAATAACGGATCAAGTGTAGGCGCTTGTACACTTGATCTGATTGCGCCTCCGAAGTTGACTTCGGAGATCACTCAGTTGTCAACGCTCGAACATAAAAGGTTCTTGCGTGATCTGCGTAGTGGCAAAGTCAAGCAGATCTGCGTACTCGTCGCTGACGAAGAGTGTGTAACCGACATAAGGTCAGCAAAGTGTTCACTGAGAACGAGAGAGAGTTCTCAGTAGTTCATCTATGGACGAGAGTGTCCTAGATGAAAAGACACGAATTGAGCGATATGACTCCCAATCGTGGGAATCGCTCAAGACAAATCCTCTCTATGAAGATTTGGTTGAATTCAAGAATGTATTCCCTGAAACTGTTCCGTGCGAATTACTGAAGGATAAAGGTATTCGACACGAGGTCGAGCTTAAACCAGGCTCGAAGTACTGTGTCATGAAGCAGTAGCCACTGCCTCGTGAACAAGTACTTGCGATCGACAAGTTCTTTGCCGATCGTTTAGCTGCGGGCCATGTGAGGGAATCAACTTCCCACATAGCTCTCCGACCTTCTGTATGCGAAAAGCAACAGGAGGGTGGCGGATAGTGCACGCGTTCAACAAATTGAACGCTGCAACGGTACCGGCTCAGACGCCGATACCGAGGAAGGACGTAATCATTGATGGTATGTCAAAGAGTACCATCTTTTCGTCCATGGATTTGATGGATGGCTTCTATCAAATCCTTATGCGGGAACGGGATATACCCTATACCGCAGTTAGCACGCCTAGCGGCATGCTCTGGGAATGGCTAGTAATGCCACAAGGGCTTAGTAATGCCCCTGCCACGTTCAACAGATGTGTATCACATCTGTTGAGGCCAGTACGAGAATTCGCGCCGAGTTTTTCGATGACGTATTCATCCATAGTCGAGCTATGGATGGAAAGTCGGACGTTGAGGTTCACAGGTACCACGTCCGACAGGTTCTTACAATCATGCGAAAGCATCAATTGTATGCCAACCTCAAGAAGTGTACATTTGCATCAAGTAAAATACCACTTCTTGGGTGCATCGTTGGTAAGAACGGTGTACGTCCTGATCCCGAAAAGATCAAGGCGATCACCGACTGGCCTGTGCCGGTTGATGTCAAAGGTCTCCGAAAATTCCTTGGGCTAGCGGCGTATTTGCACAAGCATTCACGCAATTACGCCGAGATGACTGTGCACCTCTCTCGTTTGTTGAAAAAGAACGAGATGTGGTTATGGAACGCTGAATGTCAACGCTCCTTTGATGGTATCAAGCAGAGCTTGATACACTACCCAGTCCTAGCAATAGCCGATCAGGACAGGCCATTTCATGTGGTCTGTGATGCCAGCGATTTCGCAATCGGCTGTGCATTTATGCAGTACGATCTTGAAGGCGTTGAACGCGTCGTCTGCTATCAGTCGCGTCAGCTGCAACCAGCTGAGCGGAACTATCCAGTGCATGACAAGGAAATCCGTGCCATGAAGTATGCACTCGCGAAGTTCAGAGTCTGTCTATTAGGAGATAGACCCTTCATTGTTTACACTGACCATGCGTCATTACGCACGGCAGTGAACAGGCCGCACCTTTCACAACGAATGGCGCGGTGGTTGTCATTCTGTGCAGAATACAACTTTACGGTCGAGTACGAACCAGGACGACTTAATGTCGTCGCTGATGCACTCTCACGTCGTCCCGACTTTGAAACAGTCGTGAAACCCAACAGTGAGACAGTCACTGTTGCGGTTATGACGTCCTCAGTCCCATCTACAACGTTGTATGATGATGTGAGGCGGGCATACGCCCAAGATGGTGAGATTGTGAAGTTGTTGACACATATCTCCCAACCATCTCGAGAATTGTTGAAACGATTGTCGCCTGCGTATCGATCTGCATCAGATCGATGCACTACTCGAAACGGGTTATTGTATTATACAGCCGTTTCTAGTGACACACCACGTGTTGTCATTCCAGATGATACTGATCTGCGTTTGCGGATCATGTTCGAGTATCACGATGCTCCTAAAGGAGGACATCGTGGCCGGGAGAAAACAAATCTCACGGTGAGTCGAGGCTTTTACTGGCCCCGCCAGTATCAGTTTGTGCGAAAGTGTGTTCGCGCATGCGAAGTCTGCCAACGAATCAAGTCAAGTCCTTCACTGCGTGCACCTTTACAGCCTCTACCGGTTCCGGCTGAGTGCTGGGAGTCCATCTCAATGGATTCCGTCTTCGGGTTACCCGAAGACGCGCGCGGGAATACGGGTATTCTCGTGTTTGTTGACAGATTCAGCAAAATGGTACACATATTGGCTGTACCAGAGTAAATCACGGCAAGTGGCTGTGCTTGTGTCTTTATCGACACCATCTTCCGACTTCATGGGTTGCCCCGTGAACTCGTATCAGACAGAGATCCACGCTCCACTGATGATTTCTGGCGTTCCGTGTTCAAATCACTCGGAACGCGCTTAAAGATGTCGACATCTGATCATCCAGAGTCAGATGGTCAGACGGAACGGTTAATCGTGTCCTTAAAGGGATACTTTAAGGATACGTACACTCCTTTAAGAGTTGGAGTGAGTTTTTGCCAATGGTAGAGTTTGCCATTAACAACTCGGTGCATGCGTCCACGACACATACACCGTTTTACGTGAATGGCTTGCGCCATCCGCGTGTACCCACCTTACTCGAGTGTAACTCTGGTTTAAGGGGGGGAGGGACTCGCGCGAGCAAAAACCGATTTGGTTCACGCTCATCACGCTCTGACGAAGAAGTCATTGCGTTTGATGCCGATATCGATAACATCGGTATCGAAGAAGATGATGCCAGTGAGAGCGCGGAAGCCCTCACTGAAGAAAAGATTAATGTTGCTGCAGTGCGCTCACAGCGCACTGAAGCTAACGAGTCATCAGATGAGTTCATACTGGCTCGTGGAACGGTAGTCCGTTTTGCGCAAGATTCCATTGCCGAAGCGGTGGATACGAAAAAGCAAAAAGCAGACAATAATTGAAGGGCAAACACTCTTTTATTTAATAAAGGTGACTTAGTCCTACTGTCTACGGTTAATCTACCAAAGCACGTAGTGACTAACGTGGGTATTAGTAAACTTCTACCCAAGTACATCGGCCCATTTCGTGTATTGCACCGCCTAGGCAATGCATACACGATCTAGTTGCCACGTAAGATGCGAACGCATCCCACGTTTTACGTTGGTCGGCTTATGCCGTACCATCAGTACGCTGCTTCTTCCGATGAAGAATGCCCTTGCGCTCAAGCATCTCGCAGAGAGCCTTGTGCTCCCGATGGTGGGCATCAACAAGGGTCTGAAGAGCAGTTATCTCATCCCGAGACCGATCAGCAATCCCACGAGCTACCCTTAGCTCGTCACGAAGAGATGTCAGAGATCTCTCGTTCTCGAGCTGAGCAAAGGCAAACTCAGCTCGATGCTTCGAGGCAGTGTCCGCCATTTGGAGACGCCTATTCCGCTCATGCTCGAGATCGTCGCGTAACCCTTGCGTTACGCGATCAAAAAGCTCTCGGGAACACACCGATCCACATGATCGTGTGGAGAGCGTCTTTCCTCCTCCTCCACCTCCATTAGAGGACTCTCGCGGTGGCCAGCGCTATCTAGTTGAGCAGCTGTTGAACCACCGCGACGTGAACGGACGTCGGACGAGTTATCTCGTCCGGTGGCGCGGCTATCCCCCGTCCTGGGATTCTTGGGAGCCCCGCTCCCAATTGATGGTTGACGTACTGGGTCTGGTTGAGTAGTACGACGCGGCACATCCTGTGCCGCAGAAGGACCGCCAGAGAATGTCTTCCTGGCACGGTCGTAAAGGGATTTTAAGTTGTCAATCCCTTCGTACATCTCAAAAATAGAGATACGTACTCGCCACCACGGGCTATTAGGAAGGTAAGCCTCCTTAGGTGCTCGTGCAGAGCTGTTTCACATAACATGGGCACGGGTCTCCCCAAGAGAGGCAGGGTAATCCTTTCTCCCTTGACAGACGTTGCAGCTTGTAGCGTGCACCTGTCGGGGTTCGCTTTTCAAACTTATCACGAGCTTTGATAGGTTTGTCGTTCCAAGCGTCACGACCTACATCCTCGAGGTTAGGCGTTCCACGCTTGAAGCAGTGAGGGACCATCACGTTTGTGATTCCCACTGTACCATCGGTGTCTAAAGAAAGCATCGATGAAGAATTCATTTTCAGCGCGATAGTTTTTCGCGCTGGGGTCAAGGTGATGGATCCTTGACGAGTCAAAAAACCGTGTTCGATAACGATCACTCGTCGTCGCCGACAAGTGATCCATGACGGATTTAGGAGGCATCCGTGCCTTCTTCTTGGGAGCGAGACGCAACACATTGCGGTCCCGCTCTTCCTGCGACGTGCCGACAGAAGTACTGGCACCTCGCTGTGAAGTGGTGTCCGTAGGAGAACCGACACCACTGTTAGCGCCCGAGTCTCGCGACCTCGAGCGCCTTCGCTTCGGCGATGGTTCATCTGATTCATCAGATGAACCAAAGATGCTGCGGCGCAAAGCATCGTCCATGTCACGCTTGGCAGGCGGCTTGGATTCGATCGCCGTCGATACGGATCCGTCTTCCATATCAGGAGAGTACGAGACTCCGAGCTCGTACTCTGTGAAGACACGAGTGTCTTCATGACCAGCGCCTGCGTCACCAAGTGACACAGGCTGGGTCGCTTCAGCAACCGATGAGACATCAGTTGCTGTAGTTTCTGCTTCGGCGTCCGCACAGAGACGTGCGGACGCGCTCTCGGCGGCCTTGCTCGCACATCGCATGGGCTTGTTAACCATGCGATGAGATGTTGGGAAGTGGACTCGGACCAACAAGTGCAAACCATGTCCCAAATGATTCGGGACGAGTATCCATTTAGTCAATCAGTCACTAAAGTGACTGATGGTTAAGGGGGGGGTGATGTAACGGGGTGAATCGTTACATAACAATTTTTAAGAAATTGTTAATAGAATATAACTTTAAAAGTTATATTCTCAGAACGTTGTCATAAAGACAAATATTCTGCAGCACTTACGAGCTGTTCCTAATTGGTTGATATAGGCCATTATATCAACCAACGAAGACACGCCACGACAGACGCACACAATGAGTGGTGAGCAGATAGTTGATTTACACATTTGCATTTAGACATAGTTAGATGGGGATAAATAGTGATTTATTGCAGACTTTAACTATGCTAAATGCAGTTCTACTTTTTACTTTAACCAAGTACTCTCTTCTTCTTACTGTCTTCCTCTGCGCGTACCAGTTTTCGTGAAGTTCCGAGACACTGTCTTATTCTGTCGTCAGAATAAGTAGCTTGTACTGTTACCAGTACAAGCTTCAGGGTGCCCCGTTACAGTAACGCTACTTGCAAGGTAGCGCAGGTGATGTGCGTAAGAGTGCACGTCACGCTTACCTTGCTTTAGCCTCAAGAGTGCAGAGCGTGTTCTGAACTCGGCTCTCGGCGGCTTAAGCGTCTCTTTGAGCCAAGATTTCAAGATCTCCAACGAGTCAAACACGTTTGGGTCGTGAAGCTTGAGCCCTAAGGCCCAAGCCTTTGCTCTTCCCGTCAAATTTGACAGGGAAAAGGTGACTTGCATCTCGTCACCCTCGATGTGACGGGCCCTGATGGCATCGTCTAACTCGACGAACCATCTCAAAAGGGAATCTCCATCGGTTCCCTTGTGCCTTGAGATACAAATCTTCAAGGTTTCAGGTCGACGCATGTGCTTCGGCCCTCCCATCGACTGATGAAAGCCTTGCTGCTGTAGTAAGGCTATCTTCTGTCGTTCGACGGCAAGTCCCCCTTGTTGGACCTTGTTGATAGCAGCATGTTTCTGGTCTCTGCTTAGAGACTCCAACATACCACTGATGGCGGGTTCGCCCATAAGCACACTCATGCAGCAGACTATCTCCCTTTCTAAGTCACTCAGGTGGAAGTAGCCTGCACGTGTAACGGGGCACCCTGAAGCTTGTACTGGTGACTGTACAAGCTACTTATTCTGATGACAGAATAAGTCGGTGCCTCGTAACTTCACGTACACTCGTACGTGCAGAGGAAGACGGTAAGAAGAAGCGAGTACTTGGTTAGAGTAAAAAGTAGAACTGTATTTATAATAGTTAAAGTCTGCAATAAATCACGATTTATCTTCATCTAACTATGTCTAAATACAAATGTGTAAATCAGTTATCTGCTCACCACTCATTGTGTGCGTCTGTCGTGGCGTGTCTTCGTTGGTTGATATAATGGCCTATATCAACCAATTAGGAACAGCTCGTAAGTGCTGCAGAATATTTGTCCTTATGACAACGTTCTGAGAATATAGCTTTTAAAGTTATATTCTATTAACAATTTCTTAAAAATTGTTATGTAACGATTCACCCCGTTACATCACCCCCCCCTTAACCATCAGTCACTTTAGTGACTGATTGACTAAATGGATACTCGTCCCGAATCATTTGGGACATGGTTTGCACTTGTTGGTCCGAGTCCACTTCCCAACATCTCATCGCATGGTTAACAAGCCCATGCGATGTGCGAGCAAGGCCGCCGAGAGCGCGTCCGCACGTCTCTGTGCGGACGCCGAAGCAGAAACTACAGCAACTGATGTCTCATCGGTTGCTGAAGCGACCCAGCCTGTGTCACTTGGTGACGCAGGCGCTGGTCATGAAGACACTCGTGTCTTCACAGAGTACGAGCTCGGAGTCTCGTACTCTCCTGATATGGAAGACGGATCCGTATCGACGGCGATCGAATCCAAGCCGCCTGCCAAGCGTGACATGGACGATGCTTTGCGCCGCAGCATCTTTGGTTCATCTGATGAATCAGATGAACCATCGCCGAAGCGAAGGCGCTCGAGGTCGCGAGACTCGGGCGCTAACAGTGGTGTCGGTTCTCCTACGGACACCACTTCACAGCAAGGTGCCAGTACTTCTGTCGGCACGTCGCAGGAAGAGCGGGACCGCAATGTGCTGAGTCCCGCTCCTGAAAAGAAGGCATGGATGCCTCCTAAATCAGTCATGGATCACTTGTCGGCGACGACGAGTGATCGTTATCGAACACGGTTTTTTGACTCGTCAAGGATCCATCACCTTGACCCCAGCGCGAAAAACTATCGCGCTGAAAATGAATTCTTCATCGATGCTTTCTTCAGACACCGATGGTACAGTGGGAATCACAAACGTGATGGTCCCTCACTGCTTCAAGCGTGGAACGCCTAACCTCGAGGATGTAGGTCGTGACGCTTGGAACGACAAACCTATCAAAGCTCGTGATAAGTTTGAAAAGCGAACCCCGACAGGTGCACGCTACAAGCTGCAACGTCTGTCAAGGGAGAAAGGATTACCCTGCCTCTCTTGGGGAGACCCGTGCCCATGTTATGTGAAAACAGCTCTGCACGAGCACCTAAGGAGGCTTACCTTCCTAATAGCCCGTGGTGGCGAGTACGTATCTCTATTGAGATGTACGAAGGGATTGACAACTTAAAATCCCTTTACGACCGTGCCAGGAAGACATTCTCCGGCGGTCCTTCTGCGGCACAGGATGTGCCGCGTCGTACTACTCAACCAGACCCAGTACGTCAACCATCAATTGGGAGCGGGGCTCCCAAGAATCCCAGGACGGGGGATAGCCGCGCCACCGGACGAGATAACTCGTCCGACGTCCGTTCACGTCGCGGTGGTTCAACAGCTGCTCAACTAGATAGCGCTGGCCACCGCGAGAGTCCTCTAATGGAGGTGGAGGAGGAGGAAAGACGCTCTCCACACAATCGTGGGGAAGCGTGTGTTCCCGAGAGCTTCTTTGATCGCGTAACGCAAGGGTTACACGGCGATCTCGAGCATGAGCGGAATAGGCGTCTCCAAATGGCGGACACTGCCTCGAAGCATCGAGCTGAGTTTGCTTTTGCTTAGCTTGAGAACGAGAGATCTCTGATATCTATTCGTAACGAGCTAAGGGTAGCTCGTGGGGATGTTGACTGGTCTCGGGATGAGATAGCTGCTCTTCAGACCCTTGTTGATGCCTAACATCGGGAGCACAAGGCTCTCTGCGAGATGCTTGAGCGCAAGGGCGTTCTTCATCGGAAGAAGCAGCGTACTGATGGTACGGCTTAAGCCGACCAACGTAAAACGTGGGATGCGTTCGCATCTTACGTGGCAACTCGATCGTGTATGCATTGCCCAGGCGGTGCAATACACGAAATGGGCCGATGTACTTGGGTAGAAGTTTACTGCTACCCAAGTTAGTCACTACGTGCTTTGGTAGATTAACCGTAGACAGTAGGACTAAGTCACCTTTATTAAATAAAAGAGTGTTTGCCCTTCAATTATTGTCTGCTTTTTGCTTTTTCGTATCCACCGCTTCGGCAATGGAATCTTGCGCAAAACGGACTACCGTTCCACGAGCCAGTATGAACTCATCTGATGACTCGTTAGCTTCAGTGCGCTGTGAGTGCACTGCAGCAACATCAACCTTTTCTTCAGTGAGGGCTTCCGCACTCTCACTGGCATCATCTTCTTCGATACCGATGTTGTCGATATCGGCATCAAATGCAATGACCTCATCGTCAGAGCGTGATGAGCGTGAACCAAATCGGTTTTTGCTCGCGCGAGTCCCTCCCCCCCTTAAACCAGAGTTACACTCGAGTAAGGTGGGTACACGCGGATGGCGCAAGCCATTCACGTAAAACGGTGTATGTGTCGTGGACGCATGCACCGAGTTGTTAATGGCAAACTCTACCATTGGCAAAAACTCACTCCAACTCTTAAAGGAGTGTACGTATCCTCGAAGTATCTCTTCAAGTACACGATTGGCACGTTTCGTCTGACCATCTGACTCTGGATGATCAGATGTCGACATCTTCAAGCGCGTTCCGAGTGATTTGAACACGGAACGCCAGAAATCAGCAGTGGAGCGTGGATCTCTGTCTGATACGAGTTCACGGGGCAACCCATGAAGTCGGAAGATGGTGTCGATAAAGACACAAGCACAGCCACTTGCCGTGATTGTCTCTGGTACAGCCAATATGTGTACCATTTTGCTGAATCTGTCAACAAATACGAGAATGCCCGTATTCCCGCGTGCGTCTTTGGGTAACTCGAAGACGAAATCCATTGAGATGGATTCCCAGCACTCAGCCGGAACCGGTAGAGGCTGTAAAGGTGCACGCAGTGAAGGACTTGACTTGATTCGTTGGCAGACTTCGCATGCGCGAACATACTTTCGCACAAACTGATACTGGCGGGGCCAGTAAAAGCCTCGACTCACCGTGAGATTTGTTTTCTCCCGGCCACGATGTCCTCCTTTAGGAGCATCGTGATACTCGAACATGATCCGCAAACGCAGATCAGTATCATCTGGAATGACAACACGTGGTGTGTCACTAGAAACGGCTGTATAATACAATAACCCGTTTCGAGTAGTGCATCGATCTGATGCAGATCGATACGCAGGCGACAATCGTTTCAACAATTCTCGAGATGGTTGGGAGATATGTGTCAACAACTTCACAATCTCACCATCTTGGGCGTATGCCCGCCTCACATCATCATACAACGTTGTAGATGGGACTGAGGACGTCATAACCGCAACAGTGACTGTCCCACTGTTGGGTTTCGCGACTGTTTCAAAGTCGGGACGACGTGAGAGTGCATCAGCGACGACATTAAGTCGTCCTGGTTTGTACTCGACTGTAAAGTTGTATTCTGCAAAGAATGACAACCACCGCGCCATTCGTTGTGAAAGGTGCGGCCTGTTCACTGCCGTGTGTAATGACGCATGGTCAGTGTAAACAACGAAGGGTCTATCTCCTATAGATAGACTCTGAACTTCGCGAGTGCATACTTCATGGCAAGGGGTTTCTTGTCATGCACTGGATAGTTCCGCTCAGCTGGTTGCAGCTGACGCGACTGATAGCAGACGACGCGTTCAACGCCTTCAAGATCGTACTGCATTAATGCACAGCCGATTGCGAAATCGCTGGCATCACAGACCACATGAAATGGCCTGTCCTGATCGGCTATTGCTAGGACTGGGTAGTGTATCAAGCTCTGCTTGATACCCTCAAAGGAGCGTTGACATTCAGCGTTCCATAACCACCTCTCGTTCTTTTTCAACAAACGAGAGAGGTGCACAGTCATCTCGGCGTAATTGCGTGAATACTTATGCAAATACGCCGCTAGCCCAAGGAATTTTCGAAGACCTTTGACATCTCCCGGCACAGGCCAGTCGGTGATCGCCTTGATCTTTCGGGATCAGGACGTACACCGTTCTCACCAACGATGCACCCAAGAAGTGGTATTTTGCTTGATGCAAATATACACTTCTTGAGGTTAGCATACAATAAATGCTTTCGCATGATTGTAAGAACTTGTCGGACGTGGTACCTGTGAACCTCAACGTCCGACTTTCCATCCATAGCTCGACTATGGATGAATACGTCATCGAAATAACTCGGCGCGAATTCTCGTACTGGCCTCAACAGATGTGATACACATCTGTTGAACGTGGCAGGGGCATTACTGAGCCCTTGTGGCATTACTAGCCATTCCCAGAGCATGCGCTAGGCGTGCTAACTGCGGTATAGGGTATATCCCGTTCCCGCATAAGGATTTGATAGAAGCCATCCATCAAATCCATGGACGAAAAGATGGTGCTCTTTGACATACCATCAATGATTACGTCCTTCCTCGGTATCGGCGTCTGAGCCGGTACGGTTGCAGCGTTCAATTTGTTGAACGCGTGCACTATCCGCCACCCTCCTGTTCCTTTTTCGCACACAGAAGGTCGGAGAGCTATGTGGGGAAGTTGATTCCCTCACATGGCCCGCAGCTAAACGATCGGCAAAGAACTTGTCGATCGCAAATACTTGTTCACGAGGCAGTGGCCACTGCTTCATGACACAGTACTTCGAGCCTGATTTAAGCTCGACCTCGTGTCGAATACCTTTATCCTTCGGTAATTCGCACGGAACAGTTTCAGGGAATACATCCTTGAATTCAACCAAATCTTCATAGAGAGGATTTGTCTTGAGCGATTCCCACGATTGGGAGTCATATCGCTCAATTCGTGTCTTTTCATCTAGGACACTCTCGTCCATAGATGAACTACTGAGAACTCTCTCGTTCTCAGTAAAAACTGTTGCTGACCTTATGTCGGCTACACACTCTTCGTCAGCGACGAGTACGCAGATCTGCTTGACTTTGCCACTACGCAGATCACGCAAGAACCTTTTAGCAACTGATTGATCTCCGAAGTCAACTTCGGAGGCGCAATCAGATCAAGTGTATAAGCGCCTACGCTTGATCCGTCATTGACTATGACATTTAATGTCTCTGTCATTTCCTGGGGACTTATTCCCTCAGGCTTCGAAGGACTTAGTCCTTCGGCTTCCCGGGGACTTATTCCCGCGGGTTTCGGGGAACTTATTTCCGCCGTATCTGTAATATCAGGACTTATTCCCTTAACTTCCTCTAGCTGGGGTTGCGCAACCACAGCGAGATCCTCCAAGAATCGATCGCTCAGGTTAAGCGAAACGATAATCCTAGATCCAGTCGATCTAGGATTATCGTTTCAATTAACCTGAGCGATCGATTGTTTCTCTTCTAGATGTTCCCCGCTAGGGGTACACCTTTGTCCCGTTCACTCGACTTATTCGAGTGGTGGACCTTCGGCGCAGCCTGTGTTTCCTCACAGCCGCCGGAACTTTGCTCCGAAGTGTAACTGTTTGTTACACTAAGGTTTTGTGCAGTCGTACTAACGACCGTACCACAAGTGCGGCCATCGCACTCACTCGTAGTACATCCACACGCTTGTGGACGCTCCGAAACGTTCATCAGATGGCCATCTGATGAACAAGCGGCAGGCATCGTTACTGTCCGATGATGCGAGTTTACCCGTGGTTCGTACCTTCTGAGCCACGGTATTCCAAGGATGACATCAAATTTGTCATCCAAATCCAATACGATAAAGTCATCGTCATATTGGGTATCTTCTAGCATATATTGAATCTTCACTATACGCTTCATGACGGTTATAAGTGCATCTGTCGCAAGACATACCGTCATCCTCGTAGGAGGTGTGTCACATTCACTGAACTTAAAATGATCATCTTCTAGCGATTGGCGTTGCACAAAATTGTTGGACGCCCCACAATCGACTAGAGCTCGAAGGGACAACTTATTCGTCACTTCGAGTTTCAAGGTAATGAGTGAGATCTCATTATCTACAGCAGCAACGTACAACATTTGTGTTGGGAGCAACCTTCATCAAGAGGCCTACAAATTCTCTTGACGTTGCTAGGCCAGTAGGGTGCTCCGCACCTACTGATCCTGTCCGTTTTTTGACGGTACATCCCGTTGTTGCGTCTTTGCACCAACCGCGGACCCTCGTCCCTGCCCCTTTCTCATGGGTGGACGGTCACTACGCCCAGTGTCGCGAGACACTGGACGAGGGGCACTACACTCGTGAGCGTAGTGTCCTGTCTTTTGACATCTGTTGCATCTCTGCAACTTCTTGTAGCCTGTAGAGCGAGCCTTCTCGCTCTCTACATAACAGAGTTCCATTGGCTCTGGACCTCCGTTGTCATATCGTCTCGGTTGACGATATGATGTCGAGCTGGCGCGAGCCTGTCTCAGACTGAAGTCTTCCTGCTCCGCAATGGAAATGGCTTGTTATAGTGAATCTAGTTCAAGCCGGAACAGGTGAGTCTTGACGGGACCATCCGCAAGACCCTGCATGAACACCGAAACCAACGTGTGTTCATCCACCTGGATTGGAACTTATACAACTCGTAAGATGTCGTATATGTTGAGCGTCGCGTGCACATCATGCTTACCCTGCTTGAGCTTCAAGAGTTCGGTTCGAGCTCTGAACTCAGCTCTAGGCGGTTCAAACGTTTGTCTGAGCCGCGACTTGAAGACTTCCAACGACCCAAACGCATATGGGTCGTGCAACTTGAGCCCCAATGCCCAAGTCTTGGCACGTCCTGCCAGATTGCCTGGTCAAATACAACTTGCATATCCCCGTCGTCGATGCGACGCGCCCTTATGGCGTCATCCAATTCGACGAACCATCTCAAGAGGGAGTCCTCTTCGACTCCCCTATACTTAGAGATGTCAATCTATAAAGTCTCGGGTCGACGCGAGTGCATCGACCCGCCAGCAGCAGCCTGCTGCTGTCTCAACAGTTCAAACTGTTGAGCACCCTGTTCTCTCAACAACTCTGGTTGTTGAGAACCTTGTTGGTGAAGCAAGGCTACTTTCTCGCGTTCTGCGTCAAGTTCATTTTGAATGAACTTGGCGATAGTAGCATGTTGGGCATCTCTGTTGAGAGCCTCTAGCATGACGCTAACAGCATGGATGCCCATGGTCGAACCCATCCGTTCGACCGCACCCCATTCAACACCGCTCAAATTGGATAACCGTCACGCGTAGCGTGAAAGCTTTGGTCATCTTCATCATCCAACATATTCATGTTAGATGTGAACATGGTCCTCGGACGGACTACGAAGTGCTACCAGGTGTAACGGGGCACCCTGAAGCTTGTACTGGTGACTGTACAAGCTACTTATTCTGATGACAGAATAAGGCGGTGCCTCGTAACTTCACGTACACTCGTACGTGCAGAGGAAGACGGTAAGAAGAAGCGAGTACTTGGTTAAAGTAAAAAGTAGAACTGTATTTATCATAGTTAAAGTCTGCAATAAATCACTATTTATCTTCATCTAACTATGTCTGAATACAAATGTGTAAATCAATTATCTGCTCACCACTCATTGCGTGCGTCTGTCGTGGCGCGTCTTCGTTGGTTGACATAATGGCCTATATCAACCAATTAGGAACTACTCGTAAGTGCTGCAGAATATTTGTCCTTATGTCAATATTCTGAGAATAGAACTGTTCCAGTTATATTCTATTAACAATTTCTTATAAATTGTTATGAAACGATTCACCCCGTTACAGCACGTGTAACATGTTCATGTTGGACGGACACTAAGCAGTCGTTGGACGGACTACAAAGTGCTACCAGGTGTAACGGGGCACCCTTCATTTGGGTGCCACGAAACTTCACTTACACTAGTTAGTACATGCAGTGGAAGCTAAATTACTTGAACGACTCGGTCAAGTAAAGGTAAAAAGAGAACTGTGTTTAGTACAGATAAGCTGTAAAGGGGTGAATCGTTACATCTCCGAAGTTAACTTCGGAGATCACTCAGTTGCCAATGCTCGAACATAAATGGTTCTTGCGTGATCTGCGTAGTGGCAAAGTCAAGCAGATCTGCGTACTCGTCGCTGACGACGAGTGTGTAACCGACATAAGGTCAGCAACAGTGTTTACTGAGAACGAGAGAGTTCTCAGTAGTTCATCTATGGACGAGAGTGTCCTGGATGAAAAGACACGAATTGAGCGATATGACTCCCAATCATGGGAATCGCTCAAGACAAATCCTCTCTATGAAGATTTGGTTGAATTCAAGGATGTATTCCCTGAAACTGTTCCGTGCGAATTACCGAAGGATAAAGGTACTCGACACGAAGTCGAGCTTAAACCAGGCTCGAAGTACTGTGTCATGAAGCAGTGGCCACTGCCTCGTGAACAAGTACTTGCGATCGACAAGTTCTTTGCCGATCGTTTAGCTGCGGGCCATGTGAGGGAATCAACTTCCCCACATAGCTCTCCGACCTTCTGTGTGCGAAAAAGGAACAGGAGGGTGGCGGATAGTACACGCGTTCAACAAGTTGAATGCTGCAACGGTACCGGCTCAGACGCCGATACCGAGGAAGGACGTAATCATTGATGGTATGTCAAAGAGTACCATCTTTTCGTCCATGGATTTGATGGATGGCTTCTATCAAATCCTTATGCGGGAACGGGATATACCCTATACCGCAGTTAGCACGCCTAGCGCATGCTCTGAGAATGGCTAGTAATGCCACGAGGGCTCAGTAATGCCCCTGCCACGTTCAACAGATGTGTATCACATCTGTTGAGGCCAGTACGAGAATTCGCGCCGAGTTATTTCGATGACGTATTCATCCATAGTCGAGCTATGGATGGAAAGTCGGACGTTGAGGTTCACAGGTACCACGTCCGACAAGTTCTTACAATCATGCGAAAGCATTTATTGTATGCTAACCTCAAGAAGTGTATATTTGCATCAAGCAAAATACCACTTCTTGGGTGCATCGTTGGTAAGAACGGTGTACGTCCTGATCCCGAAAGATCAAGGCGATCACCGACTGGCCTGTGCCGGGAGATGTCAAAGGTCTTCGAAAATTCCTTGGGCTAGCGGCGTATTTGCATAAGTATTCACGCAATTACGCCGAGATGACTGTGCACCTCTCTCGTTTGTTGAAAAAGAACGAGAGGTGGTTATGGAACGCTGAATGTCAACGCTCCTTTGAGGGTATCAAGCAGAGCTTGATACAATCCCCAGTCCTAGCAATAGCCGATCAGGACAGGCCATTTCATGTGGTCTGTGATGCCAGCGATTTCGCAATCGGCTGTGCATTTATGCAGTACGATCTTGAAGGCGTTGAACGCGTCGTCTGCTATCAGTCGCGTCAGCTGCAACCAGCTGAGCGGAACTATCCAGTGCATGACAAGGAACTCCTTGCCATGAAGTATGCACTCGCGAAGTTCAGAGTCTATCTATAGGAGATAGACCCTTCGTTGTTTACACTGACCATGCGTCATTACGCACGGCAGTGAACAGGCCGCACCTTTCACAACGAATGGCGCGGTGGTTGTCATTCTGTGCAGAATACAACTTTACGGTCGAGTACAAACCAGGACGACTTAATGTCGTTGCTGATGCACTCTCACGTCGTCCCGACTTTGAAACAGTCGCGAAACCCAACAGTGGGACAGTCACTGTTGCGGTTATGACGTCCTCAGTCCCATCTACAACGTTGTATGATGATGTGAGGCGGGCATACGCCCAAGATGGTGAGATTGTGAAGTTGTTGACACATATCTCCCAACCATCTCGAGAATTGTTGAAACGATTGTCGCCTGCGTATCGATCTGCATCAGATCGATGCACTACTCGAAACGGGTTATTGTATTATACAGCCGTTTCTGGTGGCACACCACGTGTTGTCATTCCAGATGATACTGATATGCGTTTGCGGATTATGTCGAGTATCACGATGCTCCTATAGGAGGACATCGTGGTTGTGAGAAAACAAATCTCATTGTAAGTCGAGACTTTTACTGGCCCCGCCAGTATCAGTTTGTGCGAAAGTGTGTTCGCGCATGCGAAGTCTGCCAACGAGTGCAGTCAAGTCCTTCGCTGCGTGCACCTTTACAGCCTCTACCGGTTCCGGCTGAGTGCTGGGAATCCATCTCAATGGATTTCGTCTTCGGGTTACCCAAAGACGCACGCTGGAATACGGGTATTCTCGTGTTTGTTGACAGATTCAGCAAAATGGTACACCCTGTGGCTGTACCAGAGTCAATCACGGCAAGTGGCTGTGCTTGTGTCTTTATCGACACCATCTTCCAACTTCATGGGTTGCCCCGTGAACTCGTATCAAACAGAGATCCAAGATTCACTGCTGATTTCTGGCGTTCCGTGTTCAAATCACTCGGAACGCGCTTGAAGATGTCGACATCTGATCATCCAGAGTCAGATGGTCAGACGAAACGTGCCAATCGTGTCCTCGAAGAGATACTTTAAGGATACGTACACTCCTTTAAGAGTTGGAGTGAGTTTTTGCCAATGGTAGAGTTTGCCATTAACAAGTCGGTGCATGCGTCCACGACACATACACCGTTTTACGTGAATGGCTTGCGCCATCCGCGTGTACCCACCTTACTCGAGTGTAACTCTGGTTTAAGGGGGGGAGGGACTCGCGCGAGCAAAAACCGATTTGGTTCACGCTCATAATGCTCTGACGATGAGGTCATTGCGTTTGATGCCGATATCGATAACATCGACATCGAAGAAGATGATGCCAGTGAGAGTGCGGAAGCCCTCACTGAAGAAAAGGTTGATGTTGCTGCAGTGCACTCACAGCGCACTGACGCTAACGAGTCATCAGATGAATTCATACTGGCTCCTGAAACGGTAGTCCGTTTTGTGCAAGACTCCATCGCCGAAGCGGTAGATAAGCAAAAGCAAAACGCAGACAAGAATTGAAGGGCAAACACTCTTTTATTTAATAAAGGTGACTTAGTCCTACTGTCTACGGTTAATCTACCAAAGCATGTAGTGACTAACTTGGGTAGCAGTAAACTACTACCCAAGTACATTGGCCCTTTTCGTGTATTGCACCGCCTAGGCAATGCATACACGATCGAGTTACCACGTAAGATGCGAACGCATCCCACGTTTTACGTTGGTCGGCTTAAGCCGTACCATCAGTACGCTGCTTCTTCCGATGAAGAACGCCCTTGCGCTCAAGCATCTCGCAGAGAGCCTTGTGCTCCCGATGTTAGGCATCAACAAGGGTCTGAAGAGCAGCTATCTCATCCCGAGACCGATCAACAATCCCACGAGCTACCCTTAGCTCGTCACGAATAGATGTCAGAGATCTCTCGTTCTCGAGCTGAGCGAAGGCAAACTCAGCTCGATGCTTCGAGGCAGTGTCCGCCATTTGGAGACGCCTATTCCGCTCATGCTCGAGATCGCCGTGTAACCCTTGCGTTACGCGATCAAAGAAGCTCTCGGGAACACACGCTTCCCCACGATTGTGTGGAGAGCGTCTTTCCTCCTCCTCCACCTCCATTAGAGGACTCTCGCGGTGGCCAGCGCTATCTAGTTGAGCAGCTGTTGAACCACCGCGACGTGAACGGACGTCGGACGAGTTACCTCGTCCGGTGGCGCGGCTATCCCCCGTCCTGGGATTCTTGGGAGCCCCGCTCCCAATTGATGGTTGACGTACTGGGTCTGGTTGAGCAGTACGACGCGGCACATCCTGTGCCGCAGAAGGACCGCCGGAGAATGTCTTCCCGGCACGGTCGTAAAGGGATTTCAGGTTGTCAATCCCTTCGTACATCTCAGTAGAGATACGTACGCACCACCACGGGCTGGTAAGGAGGTAAGCCTCCTTAGGTGCTCGTGCAGAGTTGTTCACACAACATGGGCACGAGTCTCCCCAAGAAAGGCAGGGTAATCCTTTCTCCCTTGACAGACGATGCAGCTTGTAGCGTGCACCTGTCGGGGTTCGCTTTTCAAACTTATCACGAGCTTTGATAAGTTTGTCGTTCCAAGCGTCACGACCTACATCCTCGAGGTTATGGATGTAGGCGTTCCACGCCTAAAGTAGTGAGGGACCATCACGTTTGTGATTCCCACTGTACCATCGATGTCTGAAGAAAGCATCGATGAAGAACTCATGTTCAGCGCGATAGTCTTTCGCGCTGGGGTCAAGGTGATGAATCCTCGACGAATCGAACAATCGTGTTCGATAACGATCACTCGTCGTCGCCGACAAGTGATCCATGACGGATTTCGGAGGCATCCATGCCTTCTTTTCTGGAGCGAGACGCAACACATTGCGGTCCCGCTCTTCCTGCGACGTGCCGACAGAAGTACTGGCACCTCGCTGTGAAGTGGTGTCCATTGGAGAACCGACACCACTATTAGCGCCCGAGTCTCGCGACCTCGAGCGCCTTCGCTTCGGCGATGGTTCATCTGATTCATCAGATGAACCAAAGATGCTGCGGCGCAAAGCATCGTCCATGCCACGCTTGGCAGGCGGCTTAGATTCAATTGCCGTTGATACGGATCCGTCATCCGTATCAGGAGAGTACGAGACACCGAGCTCGTACTCTGTGAAGACACGAGTGTCTTCATGACCAGCGCCTGCGTCACCAAGTGACACAGGCTGGGTCGCTTCAGCAACCGATGGGACATCAGTTGCTGTTGTTTCTGCTTCGGCGTCCGTACAGAGACGAGCGGACGCGCTCTCGGCGGCCTTGCTCGCGCATCGCATGGGCTTGTTAACCATGCGATGAGATGTTGGAAAGTGGACGCGGACCAACAAGTGCAAACCCTGTCCCAAATGATTTGGGACGAGTATCCATTTAGTCAATCAGTCACTAAAGTGACTGATGGTTAAGGGGGGGGTGATGTAACGGGGTGAATCGTTACATAACAATTTATAAGAAATTGTTAATAGAATATAACTATAAGAGTTATATTCTCAGAATATTGTCATAAGGACAAATATTCTGTTGCACTTACAAGTAGTTCCTAATTGGTTGATATAGGCCATTATATCAACCAACGAAGACGCGCCACGACAGACGCACGCAATGAGTGGTGAGCAGATAGTTGATTTACACATTTGTATTTAGACATAGTTAGATGAAGATAAATAGTGATTTATTGCAGACATTAACTATTATAAATACAGTTCTACTTTTTACTCTAACCAAGTACTCGCTTCTTCTTACCGTCTTCCTCTGCACGTACGAGTGTACGTGAAGTTACGAGGCACCGCCTTATTCTGTCATCAGAATAAGTAGCTTGTACTGTCACCAGTACAAGCTTCAGGGTGCCCCATTACATAAGCTATCAATATAACTTGAATCTTCATCTAACTACATTAAACTACGTCGTCGTATGACGACAACCTGCTCACTACTTGTTGCGCGCGTCTAGCAGCGATTGGTGGTAATCTATGGGTGGTATGTCTTATATCAACCAATCTTGGAGCAGCACATGAATATTATCCGTCTCGGATAAGATCGGTAGAATAAGGTCATTCTAAAAAAAATTCCCATTGCTTCCGTTTTGTGTCAATTTTATGTAACAGACTACCTCGTTACATGGCATACTTGCTAAACAGATAATGTTGCATAGACAGTCCTCGTCTTTGGTCTTGTCTTCCTTGCTGTATCCTCTACATTATAAAACGCCTTCCAGACTTCCCTTTAGGTAGTGCAACTTACAATGCTGAGCCTGTTGCTCCAGCGTCAGTTCTACCAAGTTATAAATCAAACGTTTGTGCTACCTCGTATTCAGACATAATGGACAACCCTGACGCTTTAAGACCCTTTACTAAACCTTGGTTTTACTACTAGCGGTGTTCTGTACTGCTTTCTGGTGGAAGTAAAACTCAAATACGGGCTTAACGATCTAAATCAGATCAACGATAGCACCTGCAAGCAGTGTCTCCAATACGAACTATGGAGGTTCAGAAGAAGGTAGTTAAAGTGATCCCTATCTTTGATAACCAAAAACCAAATTCCGAATCTATGTATCGACCTAGGTCCCTCACGTAGTCTAAAGTGTCGAATCAGCTACCTCACTGATTCACGGCTGTCGTTACAGGTACCTCCTACCTATTAAATGTTGATCAAGGTTTCTCACGAATCTGAGGTGTCGTTTCAGGTACCTCACGCAATCTGAGGTGTCGTTTCAGGTACCTCACGCAATCACGGGTGTCGTTCCAGATGCCTCTTACAATCTTGGATGCCGATCTGAGAACATCACGCAAGCTCGGCTATCGTTCCAGGTACCTCACTCAATCACCGCTGTCTTTCCATGTATCTCACGCAATCACGGCTGTCGCTCCAGGTTCCTCACAATCTCGGATGTCGACATGAGAACATCACGCAAGCACGGCTGTCGTTCCAGGTACCTCACGAAATTTGAGGTGTCGAGCCAGGTACTTCACGCAATCACAGCTGTCGTTCCAGGTACCTCTCACAATCACGGATGCCGATCTGAGAGCATCACGCAGTCACGGCTATCGAACCAGGCACCTCACGCAATCTGAGGTGTCGTTTCAGGTACCTCACGCAATCACGGGTGTCGTTCCAGATGCCTCTTACAATCTTGGATGCCGATCTGAGAACATCACGCAAGCTCGGCTATCGTTCCAGGTACCTCACTCAATCACCGCTGTCTTTCCATGTATCTCACGCAATCACGGCTGTCGCTCCAGGTTCCTCACAATCTCGGATGTCGACGTGAGAACATCACGCAAGCACGGCTGTCGTTCCAGGTACCTCACGAAATTTGAGGTGTCGAGCCAGGTACTTCACGCAATCACAGCTGTCGTTCCAGGTACCTCTCACAATCACGGATGCCGATCTGAGAGCATCACGCAGTCACGGCTATCGAACCAGGCACCCCACGCAATTTGAGGTGTCGAGCCAGATACTTCACGCAATCACGGCTATCGTTCCGGATATCTCCTTCAACCTTAGACGTTGATTTCGGTACGTAAATTAATCTCGGGTGTCGAAACAGGCACCTCTCGCAATCAAAGCTATTGTTCCAGAACCCTCTCACCAACTCGGATGTCGATCTGAGAATTTCACGCAATCGCGGCTGTCGTTCCAGGTACCTCACTCAATCACGGCTGTCTTTCCACATATCTCACGCAATCACGGCTGTCGTTCCAGGTACCTCTCACAATCTCGGATGTCGATCCAGATTCCTCCCCCCGACTCCCCCTCTTACCCATCCAAATACATAGCTGTTCAGTACTTAAATTTTCTGGGCTTCAGAATAACAACAAACATCGAGCTTGTTCAACACAACTTTCATTCTGCTTTTTGCCAAACAGTGTTCAGTCTAGCATTTCAAGCCATCCTAACCTGAATCGCCCACTCCCATGAACATCAAGGGGATATTGGTCTACGTCATGGCCTCCGTCGTGATTTTTCCTGTGGCCAGTCAGTTCACACGGAATATATATACTGTTTGTAACAGTGTGGAACAGTGCTTCGCTGTCAGTGATGTAAGGTTCTATCCGATCTTCCATAGCTGCGAGGGCGACCTAGATCCAAAGCCGTGCTGCAACCGCAAATGCACGCCGCTGAATTGCGCAAATGTCAAGGCGTGTCAGACCGAGCATGTAACCAAGACAAAGTACCAGGATTATGCAACGAATCTCTGTTCTATTCAGTTTTCTGGCGGGAAGGAGTTCAACGATTGCTGCATTCGATGGTGTGTGAATGCATAAGAACAATGGGGTCGTCCAAACAAGCACACCAGCCCCTTTATTGAGTTGGTTTTTGTGTTGCTTCGTCCGAGTGATTCGGCCTTCATCTTTCGGCACTCCTCTCAAAGTCCGGAGTTCTTTTTTCCAAGCACGTCCACAGCCACTAGCAAAATCTTGATTGAATACAAAATATTGTTCTTTTTGGTTTCTATTTTACCACTTTTTAAAGTTAGTGACTGTATGGTTCACTTTGTCGATCTATATCCACTTTTTGATAACCTGATCATGTACATAGTACAGATCTCCTTTCCGTCGCGTTTCCTAGGATGTCTAATAATCATTCATTCTGTCAAGGGCGAGGCTTTTCCGTACTTTAAATATAGCTCTTTCGTACTGCAAATATCGTCAAACGTCTTAACAAATAGCTGATAGGCTTACCAGTTAAATTCGATTCTTCTTGTGCCATATGTAAAAGGTTAAGATGTGTGGACATTGTAGACTTCCAGTAGCTGAAATTAGTGCTAAGCCTTACGGGCGGGATAAATATGTAACAGGGTGAACCGTTGCATAACAATTTATCAGAAACTGTTAATAGAATGTACCTATAAGAGTTTTATTCTCAGAATATTGTCATAAGGACAACTATTCTGTAGCACTTACGAGTAGTTCCTAATTGGTTGATATAGGCCATTATATCAACCAACGAAGACGCGCCACGACAGACGCACGCAATGAGTGGTGAGCAGATAACTGATTTACACATTTGTATTCAGACATAATTAGATGAAGATAAATAGTGATTTATTGCAGACATTAACTATTATAAATACAGTTCTACTTTTTACTCTAACCAAGTACTCGCTTCTTCTTACCGTCTTCCTCTGCACGTACGAGTGTACGTGAAGTTACGAGGCACCGCCTTATTCTGTCATCAGAATAAGTAGCTTGTACTGTCACCAGTACAAGCTTCAGGGTGCCCCGTTACACCTGGTAGCACTTCGTAGTCTGTAACGGGGCACCCTGAAGCTTGTACTGGTGACAGTACAAGCTACTTATTCTGATAACAGAATAAGGCGGTGCCTCGTAACTTCACGTACACTCGTACGTGCAGAGGAAGACGGTAAGAAGAAGCGAGTACTCGGTTAGAGTAAAAGTAGAACTGTATTTATAATAGTTAATGTCTGCAATAAATCACTATTTATCTTCATCTAACTATGTCTAAATACAAATGTGTAAATCAGTTATCTGCTCACCACTCATTGCGTGCGTCTGTCGTGGCAGTCTTCGTTGGTTGATATAATGGCCTATATCAACCAATTAGGAACTACTTGAAGTGCTACCGAATATTGTCCTTATGACAATATTCTGAGAATATAACTCTTATAGTTATATTCTATTAACAATTTCTTATAAATTGTTATGTAACGATTCACCCCGTTACATCACCCCCCCTTAACCATCAGTCACTTTAGTGACTGATTGACTAAATGGATACTCGTCCCAAATCATTTGGGACGGGGTTTGCACTTGTTGGTCCGCGTCCACTTTCCAACATCTCATCGCATGGTAAACAAGCCCATGCGATGCGCGAGCAAGGCCGCCGAGAGCGCGTCTGCACGTCTCTGTGCGGACGCCGAAGCAGAAACTACAGCAACTGATGTCCCATCGGTTGCTGAATCGACTCAGCCTGTATCACCTGGTGATGCAGGCGCTGGTCATGAAGACACTCGTGTCTTCACAGAGTACGAGCTCGGTGTCTCGTACTCTCCTGATACGGATGACGGATCCGTATCGACGGCAATTGAATCCAAGCCGCCTGCCAAGCGTGGCATGGACGATGCTTTGCGCCGCAGCATCTTTGGTTCATCTGATGAATCAGATGAACCATCGCCGAAGCGAAGGCGCTCGAGGTCGCGAGACTCGGGCGCTAATAGTGGTGTCGGTTCTCCTATGGACACCACTTCACAGCGAGGTGCCAGTACTTCTGTCGGCACGTCGCAGGAAGAGCGGGACCGCAATGTGTTGCGTCTCGCTCCAGAAAAGAAGGCATGGATGCCTCCTAAATCCGTCATGGATCACTTGTCGGCGACGACGAGTGATCGTTATCGAACACGATTGTTCGATTCGTCAAGGATCCATCACCTTGACCCCAGCGCGAAAGACTATCGCGCTGAACATGAGTTCTTCATCGATGCTTTCTTCAGACATCGATGGTACAGTGGGAATCACAAACGTGATGGTCCCTCACTACTTCAGGCGTGGAACGCCTACATCCATAACCTCGAGGATGTAGGTCATGACGCTTGGAACGACAAACTTATCAAAGCTCGTGATAAGTTTGAAAAGCGAACCCCGACAGGTGCACGCTACAAGCTGCATCGTCTGTCAAGGGAGAAAGGATTACCCTGCCTCTCTTGGGGAGACTCGTGCCCATGTTGTGTGAACAACTCTGCACGAGCACCTAAGGAGGCTTACCTCCTTACCAGCCCGTGGTGGCGCGTACGTGTCTCTACTGAGATGTACGAAGGGATTGACAACCTGAAATCCCTTTACGACCGTGCCGGGAAGACTTTCTCCGGCGGTCCTTCTGCGGCACAGGATGTGCCGCGTCGTACTGCTCGACCAGACCCAGTACGTCAACCATCAATTGGGAGCGGGGCTCCCAAGAATCCCAGGACGGGGGATAGCCGCGCCACCGGACGAGGTAACTCGTCCGACGTCCGTTCACGTCGCGGTGGTTCAACAGCTGCTCAACTAGATAGCGCTGGCCACCGCGAGAGTCCTCTAATGGAGGTGGAGGAGGAGGAAAGACGCTCTCCACACGATCATGTGGATCGGTGTGTTCCCGAGAGCTTCTTTGATCGCGTAACGCAAGGGTTACGCGACGATCTCGAGCATGAGCGGAATAGGCGTCTCCAGATGGTGGACACTGCCTCGAAGCATCGAGCTGAGTTTGCCTTTGCTCAGCTTGAGAACGAGAGATCTCTGACATCTCTTCGTGACGAGCTAAGGGTAGCTCGTGGGATGGCTGATCGGTCTCGGGATGAGATAGCTGCTCTTCAGTCCCTTGTTGATGCCCACCATCGGGAGCACAAGGCTCTCTGCGAGATGCTTGAGCGCAAGGGCGTTCTTCATCGGAAGAAGCAGCGTACTGATGGTACGGCTTAAGCCGACCAACGTAAAACGTGGGATGCGTTCGCATCTTACGTGGTAACTCGATCGTGTATGCATTGCCTAGGCGGTGCAATACACGAAATGGGCCAATGTACTTGGGTAGTAGTTTACTGCTACCCAAGTTAGTCACTACATGCTTTGGTAGATTAACCGTAGACAGTAGGACTAAGTCACCTTTATTAAATAAAAGAGTGTTTGCCCTTCCATTCTTGTCAGCGTTTTGCTTTTGCTTATCCACCGCTTCGGCGATGGAGTCTTGCACAAAACGGACTACCGTTTCACGAGCCAGTATGAACTCATCTGATGACTCGTTAGCTTCAGTGTGCTGTGAGCGCACTGCAGCAACAACAACCTTTTCTTCAGTGAGGGCTTCCGCACTCTCACTGGGATCATTGTCTTCAGTGAGGGCTTCCGCACTCTCACTGGCATCATCTTCTTCGATATCGATGTTATCGATATCGGCATCAAACGCAATGACTTCTTCGTCAGAGCGTGATGAGCGTGAACCAAATCGGTTTTTGCTCGCGCGAGACCCTCCCCCCCTTAAACCAGAGTTACACTCTAGTAAGGTGGGTACACGCGGATGGCGCAAGCCATTCACGTAAAACGGTGTATGTGTCGTGGACGCATGCACCGACTTGTTGATGGCAAACTCTACCATTGGCAAAAACTCACTCCAACTCTTAAAGGAGTGTACGTATCCTCGAAGTATCTCTTCAAGGACACGATTGGCACGTTCCGTCTGACCATCCGACTCTGGATGATCAGATGTTGACATCTTCAAGCGCGTTCCGAGTGATTTGAACACGGAACGCCAGAAATCAGCAGTGAATCGTGGATCTCTGTCTGATACGAGTTCACGGGGCAACCCATGAAGTCGGAAGATGGTGTCAATAAAGACACAAGCACAGCCACTTGCCGTGATTGTCTCTGGTACAGCCACAAGGTGTACCATTTTGCTGAATCTGTCAACAAATACGAGAATACCCGTATTCCCGCGTGCGTCTTTGGGTAACCCGAAGACGAAATCCATTGAGATGGATTCCCAGCACTCAGCCGGAACCGGTAGAGGCTGTAAAGGTGCACGCAGTGAAGGACTTGACTTCACTCGTTGGCAGACTTCGCATGCGCGAACATACTTTCGCACAAACTGATACTGGCGGGGCCAGTAAAAGTCTCGACTTACCGTGAGATATGTTTTCTCTCGGCCACGATGTCCTCCTATAGGAGCATCGTGATACTCGAACATGATCCGCAAACGCAGATCAATATCATCTGGAATGACAACACGTGGTGTGTCACCAGAAACGGCTGTATAGTACAGTAAACCGTTATGAGTAGTGTATCGATCTGATGCAGATCGATACGCAGACGACAATCGTTTCAACGATTCTCGAGATGGTTGGGAGAGATGTGACAACAACTTCACTATCTCACCATCTTGGGCGTATGCCCGCCTCACATCATCATACAACATTGTAGATGGGACTGAGGACGTCATAACCGCAACAGTGACTGTCTCACTGTTGGGTTTCGCGACTGTTTCAAAGTCGGGACGACGTGAGAGTGCATCAGCGACGACATTAAGTCGTCCTGGTTTGTACTCGACCGTAAAGTTGTATTCTGCAAGGAATGACAACCACCGCGCCATTCGTTGTGAAAGGTGCGGGCTGTTCACTGCCGTGCGTAAGGGCGCATGGTCAGTGTAAACAACGAAGGGTCTATCTCCTAATAGATAGACTCTGAACTTCGCGAGTGCATACTTCATGGCAAGGAGTTCCTTGTCATGCACTGGATAGTTCCGCTCAGCTGGTTGCAGCTGACGCGACTGATAGCAGACGACGCGTTCAACGCCTTCAAAGTCGTACTGCATTAATGCACAGCCGATTGCGAAATCGCTGGCATCACAGACCACATGAAATGGCCTGTCCTGATCGGCTATTGCTAGGACTGGGGATTGTATCAAGCTCTGCTTGATACCCTCAAAGGAGCGTTGACATTCAGCGTTCCATAACCACCTCTCGTTCTTTTTCAACAAACGAGAGAGGTGTACAGTCATTTCGGCGTAATTGCGTGAATACTAATGCAAATACGCCGCTAGCCCAAGGAATTTTCGAAGACCTTTGACATCTCCCGGCACAGGCCAGTCGGTGATCGCCTTGATCTTTTCGGGATCAGGACGTACACCGTTCTTACCAACGATGCACCCAAGAAGTGGTATTTCGCTTGCTGCAAATATACACTTCTTGAGGTTAGCATACAATTGATGCTTTCGCATGATTGTAAGAACTTGTCGGACGTGGTACCTGTGAACCTCAACGTCCGACTTTCCATCCATAGCTCGACTATGGATGAATACGTCATCGAAATAACTCGGCGCGAACTCTCGTACTGGTCTCAACAGATGTGATACACATCTGTTGAACGTGGCAGGGGCATTACTGAGCCCTTGTGGCATTACTAGCCATTCCCAGAGCATGCCGCTAGGCGTGCTAACTGCGGTATAGGGTATATCCCGTTCCCGCATTAGGATTTGATAGAAGCCATCCATCAAATCCATGGACGAAAAGATGGTACTCTTTGACATACCATCAATGATTACGTCCTTCCTCGGTATCGGCGTCTGAGCCGGTACCGTTGCAGCGTTCAATTTGTTAAACGCGTGCACTATCCGCCACCCTCCTGTTGCTTTTCGCACACAGAAGGTCGGAGAGCTATGTGGGGAAGTTGATTCCCTCACATGGCCCGCTGCTAAACGATCGGCAAAGAACTTGTCGATCGCAAGTACTTGTTCACGAGGCAGTGGCCACTGCTTCATGACACAGTACTTCGAGCCTGGTTTAAGCTCGACTTCGTGTCGAATACCTTTATCCTTCGGTAATTCGCACGGAACAGTTTCAGGGAATACATCCTTGAATTCAACCAAATCTTCATAGAGAGGATTTTCCTTGAGCGATTCCCATGATTGGGACTCATATCGCTCAATTCGTGTCTTTTCATCTAGGACACTCTCGTCCATAGATGAACTACTGAGAACTCTCTCGTTCTCAGTAAACACTGTTGCTGACCTTATGTCGGTTACATACTCGTCGTCAGCGACGAGTATGCAGATCTGCTTGACTTTGCCACTACGCAGATCACGCAAGAACCTTTTATCTTCGAGCGTTGGCAACTGAGTGATCTCCGAAGTTAACTTCGGAGGCGCAATCAGATCAAGTGTATAAGCGCCTACACATGATCCGTTATTGACTATGACATTCAATGTCTCTGTCATTTCCTGGGGACTTATTCCCTCAGGCTTCGAAGGACTTATTCCTTCGTCTTCCCGGGGACTTATTCCCGCGGGTTTCGGGGAACTTATTTCCGCCGTATTTGTAATCTTGGGACTTATTCCCTTTACTTCCTCTAGCTGGGGTTGCGCAACCACAGCGAGATCCTCTACGAAAGACTCTCCAGTCGATCTAGGATTATCGTTTCGCTTAACCTGAGCGATCGATTGTTTCTCTTCTAGATGTTCCCCTCTAGGAATACATCTTTGTCCCAGTCCACCCGACTTATTCGAGTGGTGGACCTTCGGCGCAGCCTGTGTTTCCTCACAGCCGCCGGAACTTTGCTCCGAAGTGTAACCGTTTGGTAAACTAAGGTTTTGTGCAGTCGTACTAACGACCGTACCACAAGTGAGGCCATCGCACTCACTCGTAGTACATCCACACGCTTGTGGACGCTCCAAAACGTTCATCAGATGGCCATCTGATGAACAAGCGGCAGGCATCGTTACTGTTCGATGTTGCCAGTTTACCCGTGGTTCGTACCTTCTGAGCCACGGTATTCCAAGGATGACATCAAATTTGTCATCCAAATCCAATACGATAAAGTCATCGTCATATTGGGTATCTTCTAGCGTATAGTGGATCTTCACTATACGCTTCATGACGGTTACAGATGCGCCTGTCGCAAGACGTACCGTCATCCTCGTAGGAGGTGTGTCACATTCACTGAACTTGAAGTGACCATCTTCTAGCGATTGGCGTCGCACAAAATTGTTGGACGCCCCACAATCGACTAGAGCTCGAAGGGACAACTTATTCGTCACTTCGAGTTTCAAGGTAATGAGTGAGATCTCATTACCTAGAGCAGCAACGCACAACGTTTGTGTGTTGGAAGCAACCTTCATCAAGAGGCCTGCAAATTCTCTTGACGTTGCTGGACCAGTAGGGTGCTCCGCACCTACTGATCCTGTCCGTTTTTTGACGGTCCATCCCGTTGTTGCGTCTTTGCACCAACTGCGGACCCTCGTCCCTGCCCCTTTCTCATGGGTGGACGGTCACTACGCCCAGTGTCGCGAGACACTGGACGAGGGGCACTACACTCGTAAGCGTAGTGTCCTGTCTTCTGACATCTGTTGCATCTCTGCAACTTCTTGTAGCCTGTAGAGCGAACCTTCTCGCTCTCTACATAACAGAGTTCCATCGGCTCTGGACCTCCGTTGTCATATCGTCTCGGTTGACGATATGATGTCGAGCTGGCGCGAGCCTGTCTCAGACTGAAGTCTTCCTGCTCCGCAATTGAAATGGCTTGTTCTAGTGAATCTAGTTCAAGCCGGAACAGGTGAGTCTTGACGGGACCATCCGCAAGACCCTGCATGAACACCGAAACCAACGTGTGTTCATCCACCGGATTGGAACTTATACAACTCGTGAGATGTCGTATATGTTGAGCGTAAGCGTGCACATCACGCTTACCCTGCTTGAGCTTCAAGAGTTCAGTTCGAGCTCTGAACTCAGCTCTAGGCGGTTCAAACGTTTGTCTGAGCCGCGACTTGAAGACTTCCAACGACCCAAACGCGTATGGGTCGTGCAGCTTGAGCCCCAGTGCCCAAGTCTTGGCACGTCCTGCCAGATTTGACTGGGCAAATGCAACTTGCATATCCCCGTCGTCGATGCGACGCGCCCTTATGGCGTCATCCAATTCGACGAACCATCTCAAGAGGGAGTCTTCTTCGACCCCCCTATACTTTGAGATGTCAATCTTCAAAGTCTCGGGCCGACGCGAGTGCATCGACCCGCCAGCAGCAGCCTGCTGCTGTCTCAACAGTTCAAACTGTTGAGCACCCTGTTCTCTCAACAACTCTGCTTGTTGAGAACCTTGTTGGTGAAGCAAGGCTACTTTCTCGCGTTCTGCGTCAAGTTCATTTTGAATGAACTTGGCGATAGTAGCATGTTGGGCAACTCTATTGAGAGCCTCTAGCATGACGCTAACAGCATGGATGCCCATGGTCGAACCCATTCGTTCAACCGCATCCCATTCGACATCGCTCAAATGGGAGTAGCCGTCACGCGTAGCGTGAAAGCTTTGGTCATCTTCATCATCCAACATATTCATGTTGGATGTGAACGCGGTCCTTGGACGGACTACAAAGTGCTACCAGGTGTAACGGGGCACCCTGAAGCTTGTACTGGTGACAGTACAAGCTACTTATTCTGATAACAGAATAAGGCGGTGCCTCGTAACTTCACGTACACTCGTACGTGCAGAGGAAGACGGTAAGAAGAAGCGAGTACTCGGTTAGAGTAAAAAGTAGAACTGTATTTATAATAGTTAATGTCTGCAATAAATCACTATTTATCTTCATCTAACTATGTCTAAATACAAATGTGTAAATCAGTTATCTGCTCACCACTCATTGCGTGCGTCTGTCGTGGCGCGTCTTCGTTGGTTGATATAATGGCCTATATCAACCAATTAGGAACTACTTGGAAGTGCTACCGAATATTGTCCTTATGACAATATTCTGAGAATATAACTCTTATAGTTATATTCTATTAACAATTTCTTATAAATTGTTATGTAACGATTCACCCCGTTACATAGTCCGTCCAAGGACCGCGTTCACATCCAACATGAATATGTTGGATGATGAAGATGACCAAAGCTTTCACGCTACGCGTGAAGGCTACTCCCATTTGAGCGATGTCGAATGGGATGCGGTTGAACGGATGGGTTCAACTATGGGCATCCATGATGTTAGCGTCATGCTAGAGGCTCTCAATAGAGATGCCCAACATGCTACTATCGCCAAGTTCATTCAAAATGAACTTGACGCAGAACGCGAGAAAGTAGCCTTGCTTCACCAACAAGGTTCTCAACAACCAGAGTTGTTGAGAGAACAGGGTGCTCAACAGTTTGAACTGTTGAGACAGCAGCAGGCTGCTGCTGGTGTGTCGATGCACTCGCGTCGACCCGAGACCTTGAAGATTGACATCTCCAAGTATAGGGGGGGTCGAAGAAGACTCCCTCTTGAGATGGTTCGTCGAATTGGATGGCGCCATAAGGGCGCGTCGCATCGACGACGGGGATATGCAAGTTGCATTTGCCCAGTCAAATCTGGCAGGACGTGCCAAGACTTGGGCACTGGGGCTCAAGCTGCACGACCCATATGCGTTTGGGTCGTTGGAAGTCTTCAAGTCGCGGCTTAGACAAACGTTTGAACCGCCTAGAGCTGAGTTCAGAGCTCGAACTGAACTCTTGAAGATCAAGCAGGGTAAGCGTGATGTGCACGCTTACGCGCAACATATACGACATCTCACGAGTTGTATAAGCTCTAACCCGGTGGATGAACACACGTTGGTTTCGGTGTTCATGCAGGGTCTTGCGGATGGTCCCGTCAAGACTCACCTGTTCCGAATTGAACTAGATTCACTAGAGTAAGCCATTTCCATTGCGGAGCAGGAAGACTTCAGTCTGAGACAGTCATGCGCCAGCTCGACATCATATCGTCAACCGAGACGATATGACAACGGAGGTCCAGAGCCGATGGAACTCTGTTATGTAGAGAGCGAGAAGGCTCGCTCTACAGGCTACAAGAAGTTGCAGAAATGCAACAGATGTCAAATGACAGGACACTACGCTTACGAGTGTAGTGCCCCTCGTCCAGTGTCTCGCGACACTGGGCGTAGTGACCGTCCACCCATGAGAAAGGGGCAGGGACGAGGGTCCGCGGTTGGTGCAAAGACGCAACAACGGGATGGACCGTCAAAAAAACGGACAGGATCAGTAGGTGCGGAGCACCCTACTGGTCCAGCAACGTCAAGAGAATTTGTAGGCCTCTTGATGAAGGTTGCTCCCAACACAAATGTTGTACGTTGCTGCTGTAGGTAATGAGATCTCACTCATTACCTTGAAACTCGAAGTGACAAATAAGTTGTTCCTTTAAGCTCTAGTCGATTGTGGGGCGTCCAACAATTTTGTGCGACGCCAATCGCTAAAAGATGGTCACTTCAAGTTTGTTGAAGATGACACATCTCCTACGAGGATGACGGTACGTCTTGCGACAGGCGCATCCGAACCGTCATGAAGCGTATAGTGAAGATCCACTATACGCTAGAAGATACCCAATATGACGATGACTTTATCGTATTGGATTTGCATGAAATATTTGATGTCATCCTTGGAATACCGTGGCTCAGAAGGTACGAACCACGAGTAAACTGGCAACATCGAACAGTAACGATGCCTGCCGCTTGTTCATCAGATGGCCATCTAATGAACGACGTTTTGGAGCGTCCACAAGCGTGTGGATGTACTACGAGTGAGTGCGATGGTCTCACTTGTGATACGGTCGTTAGTACGACTGCACAAACACATACTGTAACAAACGGTTACATTTCGGAGCAAGATTCCGGCGGCTATGAGGAAACACAGGCTGCGCCGAAGGTCCACCACTCGAATAAGTCGAGTGGACCGGGACAAAGATGTATCCCTGGCGGGGAACATCTAGAAGAGAAACAATCGATCGCTCAGGTTAAGCGAAACGATAATTCTAGATCGACTGGAGAGTCTTTCGTAGAGGATCTCGCTGTGGTTGCGCAACCCCAGCTAGAGGAAGTTAAGGGAATAAGTCCCGATATAACAAATACGGCGGAAATAAGCTCCCCGAAACCCGCGGGAATAAGTCCCCGGGAAGCCGAATGAATAAGTCCTTCGAAGCCTGAGGGAATAAAGTCCCCAGGAAATGACAGAGACATTGAATGTCATAGTCAATAACGGATCAAGTGTAGGCGCTTGTACACTTGATCTGATTGCGCCTCCGAAGTTGACTTCGGAGATCACTCAGTTGCCAACGCTCGAAGATAAAAGGTTCTTGCGTGATCTGCGTAGTGGCAAAGTCAAGCAGATCTGCGTACTCGTCGCTGACGACGAGTGTGTAGCCGACATAAGGTCAGCAACAGTGTTTACTGAGAACGAGAGAGTTCTCAGTAGTTCATCAATGGACGAGAGTGTCCTCGATGAAAAGACACGAGTTGAGCGATATGACTCCCAATCGTGGGAATCGCTCAAGACAAATCATCTCTATGAAGATTTGGTTGAATTCAAGGATGTATTCCCTGAAACTGTTCCGTGCGAATTACCGAAGGATAAAGGTATTCGACACGAAGTCGAGCTTAAACCAGGCTCGAAGTACTGTGTCATGAAGCAGTGGCCACTGCCTCGTGAACAAGTACTTGCGATCGACAAGTTCTTTGCCGATCGTTTAGCTGCGGGCCATGTGAGGGAATCAACTTCCCACATAGCTCTCCGACCTTCTGTGTGCGAAAAGCAACAGGAGGGTGGCGGATTGTGCATGCACTTAACAAGTTGAACGCTGCAACGGTACCGGCTCAGACGCCGATACCGAGGAAGGACGTAATCATTGATGGTATGTCAAAGGGTACCATCTTTTCGTCCATGGATTTGATGGATGGCTTCTATCAGATCCTTATGCGAGAACAGGATATACCCTATACCGCAGTTAGCACGCCTAGCGCATGCTCTGGGAATGGCTAGTAATGCCACAAGGGCTTAGTAATGCCCCTGCCACGTTCAACAGATGTGTATCACATCTGTTGAGACCAGTACGAGAATTCGCGCCGAGTTATTTCGATGACGTATTCATCCATAGTCGAGCTATGGATGGAAAGTCGGAAGTTTAGGTCCACAGGTACCACGTCCGACAGGTTCTTACAATCATGCGAAAGCATCAATTGTATGCTAACCTCAAGAAGTGTATATTTGCATCAAGCAAAATACCACTTCTTGGGTGCATCGTTGGTAAGAACGGTGTACGTCCTGATCCCGAAAGATCAAGGCGATCACCGACTGGCCTGTGCCAGTTGATGTCAAAGGTCTTCGAAAATTACTTGGGCTAGCGGCGTATTTGCACAAGCATTCACGCAATTACGCCGAAATGACTGTGCACCCTCTCTCGTTTGTTGAAAAAGAACGAGAGGTGGTTATGGAACGCTGAATGTCATCGCTCCTTTGATGGTATCAAGCAGAGCTTGATACACTACCCAGTCCTAGCAATAGCCGATCAGGACAGGCCATTTCATGTGGTCTGTGATGCCAGCGATTTCGCAATCGGCTGTGCATTAATGCAGTACGATCTTGAAGGCGTTGAACGCGTCGTCTGCTATCAGTCGCGTCAGCTGCAACCAGCTGAGCGGAACTATCCAGTGCATGACAAGGAACTCCTTGCCATGAAGAATGCACTCGCGAAGTTCAGAGTCTATCTATTAGGAGATAGACCCTTCATTGTGTACACTGACCATGCGTCATTACACACGGCAGTGAACAGGCCGCACCTTTCACAACGAATGGCGCGGTGGTTGTCATTCTTTGCAGAATACAACTTTACGGTCGAGTACAAACCAGGACGACTTAATGTCGTCGCTGATGCACTCTCACGTCGTCCCGACTTTGAAACAGTCGTGAAACCCAACAGTGAGACAGTCACTGTTGCGGTTATGACGTCCTCAGTCCCATCTACAACGTTGTATGATGGTGTGAGGCGGGCATACTCCCAAGATGATGAGATTGTAAAGTTGTTGACACATATCTCCCAACCATCTCGAGAATTGTTGAAACGATGATCGTCTGCGTATCGATCTGCATCAGATCGATGCACTACTCGAAACGGGTTATTGTATTATACAGCCGTTTCTGGTGGCACACCACGTGTTGTCATTCCAGATGATACTGATCTGCGTTTGCGGATCATGTTCGAGTATCACGATGCTCCTATAGGAGGACATCGTGGTTGTGAGAAAACAAATCTCATTGTAAGTCGAGACTTTTACTGGCCCCGCCAGTATCAGTTTGTGCGAAAGTGTGTTCGCGCATGCGAAGTCTGCCAACGAGTGCAGTCAAGTCCTTCGCTGCGTGCACCTTTACAGCCTCTACCGGTTCCGGCTGAGTGCTGGGAATCCATCTCAATGGATTTCGTCTTCGGGTTACCCAAAGACGCACGCTGGAATACGGGTATTCTCGTGTTTGTTGACAGATTCAGCAAAATGGTACACCCTGTGGCTGTACCAGAGTCAATCACGGCAAGTGGCTGTGCTTGT